CCTATCCAGGCGTTGATCCATGTAGCTTTGATGATATTAGGAAGAACCCTCCTGATACTTACACCAGCTCCACAGAAGCTCCAACCCTGGAGGAATACAAAAGCATCAACAAGAGTCACATTAATGTCAAGGACTCCAGAACACGCCACCCGGCGTCTTTTCTCTCTCTTACTGGCTACGAAAGCAAACTGGTGCTCGACGCACATTACGAGATAGTTCGTAATAGGATGGCCGGTGTTAACGAGAAGAGAGAACACATTGAGGGCTCAAACCCAGACAGCGTATCACTAAGCCTAGTGGTATGCAACTGGGGAAATATGGATCGAGCGCCGGTGCCCGCAGGGAATCCCAAAAAGAAGCTCAAACCTGAGAAGGGATTCGATTACCACCCTCTTATTGACCTGTGCTTTAACAATTCAGCACACATTACCCTCGTACTCGAGGCAGGAGCACTTGCGTCAAAGTATTCGATCGCAACCATGCGACAACATGAATACAGAGGGATGCTAATCCATTCTCCTCCCAAGGAGCCTGAGGCACCATCGATGTATATCGGAGTCAAAGGTGACCCAACAACAGACATCTCTCTCATCCACCACTTTTACCGCCATCGAACAATGAAGCCAAAAGCTGGCGGTCCCAAGAAGCGACTATGGGCATGCCACGGTGCGGTATGCCGCCTCACCTTTGGGTACCACAGTACCATCAAGGAGGCAAAAGAATGGGTACACCCATATTCCGGCCAGAGGATGACGAGAGATGAGTACATGTCGATTATCGGATATGACCCTCTCAAGGGTAAGAATCCTGACAAGGATGGACCCACTGATGGCTCTTACCTCTCACCAGAGGCGTGGCTGACACTGTCAGACCTTAACCCTGCGCCGGTTCTCTGTGAATGGAACGGCCATGTCGAGGGTGATGAGCCACCAGAGGAAGATTTTGAGTCATATGCAGAGATCTTCTCACAAGAAGCATCAAACGATCTTGACGAGATGTGGTGCACAAAAGGACCTTACAAGGTCATCACCATCGCGATCGTCCACTTCAATTCATACATGACTCATAAGGAAGAACAGAGGCGCGAACTGGTGAACGCGTTCCTCAACGAGGTTCTCCCTTTCAAGCCGGATGTAATCGCGGGTGATCTCAACAATATTGCGTCGAAACTCACCTTAAAAGGTGGAGACGTTCACCCGCGAAACAGCTTGTTTTCTCTATACCTGGAGAAAAAGCTTGCAGCATTCAACAGAATAGCAGGAAGGCACTCACAAGTGCGACACCTTTGTCTCAACAACTCTGACCAGCACAGACTGGCACGTGCAGATCGGCTACCGCCGGACCCGGCGAAGAAAGTTGCTGACCTAGACTGTATCAACAGTTATGTCCTTGACTGGGGCAAAACGCCGCACACGGCGTCACCTAGCCCGAAAGAGGCTACACCTGCTGCCGAAAGAACATACTGGGAACGAGTCTCAGATATGTGGCAGGACCTGAACAGAAACAGGGATCTCGATATCCGTCTGTTTGTCTCAGTCAAGCAATACTATTCTACGTTTTCAAACCTTGATCTATGGTTGAGTCCCTCAGACAAAGATTGGCACAGCCCTTTGGGTTTCACGATACAACCAATCCTTTCAAAAGGAAAACACAACCGATCAGATGCCCAGGTTCAGAAGATCGCTGACAAGCGACAGGCTTTCAAGCAGCGTAATGCTGAATACTGGGAAAACAAAGGCTCATTTGTTTATTCATCCGGCAACCGCTGGTACGACAGACAGCAACCACCAGGTAGCTATCACAGATATGGAAGATTCTGGGAAAGGCCACAGCCTGAACGTCCCAACGAGCCTGAAGGATCTCCTCCAAGAAGGAGCCAGGCATCATCGTCCTCTTCACAACAAGATCTACCAAGATCAAGATCCAGACCTCAAAGAGCCAGTCTTGTTGACAAGCTCAACATGTCTCTAGAGGAACTGGACACACTTGAGGAACAACAAGAAGAAGAACACTCTCCAACAAAGAGTGATATTGAAGAGCACGAACGAGAAACATCAAACCTGATGTCTGCTCAAAGAGATGAAGACGAACAGGAGGAAGAATCTTCCAGTCGAAGAAGAAGAAGGAAGTCATCACGACCGCCGTCTGCTCCGAGCAGCAAGGCACTCCGAACAGCTGCCACAGCAGCAGGATTGTCGAACTGGTTCGGACACCGTAATCAAGGCGGTGCAAGAGGAGAGTCTACCAAGACTGATGAACCTTCTCCTCCAAACTCACTAACCAGTGAGCAAGACTTCTCCATCTTCAGCATCTTTTGGAATGTGTTTCTGCTGCTAATGGGCCTACACTGGATGTGGAAGCAGCTCACCAGGGCTCCCATCAGATGTATGGACAGCCAACAATCAAAGGCAAAAGCAGCAGCGAAACAATCACCGCCATTTCTCGAACCCGAGAATGAACCACAGTCGCGTGAATCTTTAGGACCCAACAGGGTCAATTCTGGAGAAACAACTGATCTACGACCTGTGTGGCATACTTCCCGAAGCGAAGTTTACCATCTTTCAGATAGCTGTTACCAGCTCAAGCAAGCAAAAGATGTTTCAAGGAAGGTGCTGTGCAAAACATGCCTCCATGCAGTACAAGTTGCGGAGATTCGCAGGAACGATCCTTTTCAAAGAGGTGACACACGACCACATAGCACCGAAGGGGACATTGAACGGTTCCAAACCTATGACGATGCAAGCACTACTCCTCATATGAGGCAATTATTTAGTGACGCATTGCATGCACAAATGGCCGAAGAAGCCATGCAGATTACCTACACATCTATCCCTAAGGGATCTTCAGCAAAGGCCAGAGGGACATCTGCACTCACAAGTGCCTCATCGTCGTCAGTGCCCAAGGCAATGCCACCAGTGCCTAACAAGGCAAACATGTCACCTCCACCTAAGACTCCTCCGCCAAAGGCGAAAGGAACAGTACCTTCAGATCCTCCGAGACCAAAAGGTCCTACCAGAAGAGGAGGTCAAAATCGGCGCATTCAACGAAAGGCAGCCAGAGAAGCCCACAACAGTGGACTCTGCAACCATGCAGACGCTGCACTTGGCGAAGCCAATCAAGGCCAGGCCATTAACACTATGTGCCGAAACATGGCAGTAAGTCGCGTCAGCTCTATCGATGCAACGATAGAAGCAGCCGAGCAGTTTACACAAGGCGTGCTACAGCACGTAGAAACATATGATGAAGAGGAACCGTGGAGCACGGAATTTCTGCCAGTCGTGGAAGTCCTATTCAGGAACCTGAGCAGTGACGAAACAACTGTCATACATGACAATCAAACGGTAACTATGCCTATTCAGAAATACACAGACCTCCTCAGAATCGCACAATCATTACGAAACTCTATCCAGAGAGATAAGGAGGAAAGAAAGGATCATCTTGACACCATCCAAGATACTCTATCCAGAGTGCAAATTCTCTTAACAGCACTGAAGGACTCAAAAACAGTCTTCAACCAACTGGTCCATTCCTCACTAGAGATAGAGCGAAGATACAACAACTTCAAAAATGTCCTCGAGACACTTTTTGACGACCAAAGCTCTGAGGAAGATCAGTCAGAATCTGACCAGGAAGAAGTCCTAACTCCTTCTGCAGGACAGTTCTGGAATAGCCTTCATGCCCACGCCTTATCTCCATCAGGAGACGAAAGTGAAAGATCATGGGCGTCCTCAGACGGACAGCTTGAAAGAAGAAGGGCTGAACGGGCAAGGGCTAAGCAGCCACAACTGGCTAAGGCCAAGGCAACACAAATCAGCTCACAAGCTGCACCAAAGGCCGAGCCAAAGGCGACTACATCCAACCATGGATATGACGTTCCGGACGCCGCCTTCACCAGGGCTGAGAACAGGTTACTCGGAATCTTTTCAAGTTCCGAAGAAGATCACTCAGACCCGGACGAACCACATCCGAACGTCTACGCTCGAGCCTATGATCCAAACCTGGATCCGAATCTGAGATAAGAAAATTCTCAGAGTTTCACAACAGTGACTCACAAAGCTCTAACAAGAGCACAATGAAGGGCTGCATAATTCGATAGAAGAACACTACCAGACCTGATCTTGTACAGATGATCTCTCTGACTAACATGCATGAGTGTGTGCAAAAGGAGTGACTTCAGCAATGTACTTCAGTGCTATACCTAGCATAAACAATATGCTGTTTTTAACATGAGTCCAAACTCCGCAACTGTGACAGTGGGCATAACAGTATATGTGTGAATGTGCGGCCATGCTTCCGGTAAAAGAAAATTAGTGTCTGTTTGAACTCTGTCGAGCGCGCACGATATACCTTTATGAAACGTCGGACAGCCTTCCATGGGAAGGCGGTTTCAAAAAAAAAAAAGAGAAGACGATGCACTCTTCCTGATTCCACTGGATTGCTTTTCATGGACACCACTATTGATTGCATGATCTTTTATTTTCCATGAATTGCTGAGTGAATTATTCATGATCTCATGCCGTTGCCAGTTTCCTCAATCAGTGTGAGTGAGGAAAACAAAATTTTGTGGGCTTTTGAGGCGCGGGACCCTACATTGAACAGGGGCCCCCCTTCCGACGTTGGGACTAGCCCACCGTGCAAGCCGCTGTCGCTGACAGCGGCGGATGGCAGCGAAGCTGAGAAATGGGGGAAAGTGAGGAGTCTGCCCGGGTCGACAGCCGGGCAGTGGCCTTTCATGCAGCTCATGCTTGGAATGCTTATAAGAGGTCGGTAAGCCTCTTCCCAAGTCCTCCAGAACAGATGCACTCGATCTTCAGAAGAAGCTGCCTTTTGCCTAGACCGACAGGGCTTTTGCCTCCGGCACCGGGGCCAGGGCCGATGGCCGCTTCTTCCAGCTCCGGCCCGGATCTTGGGGCCTCGCAGTCGGCTTTCCTTGCAGCAGGGCTGAAGCCTCTGTCAGCCCGAGACGCTCACTTAAGATCTAAAGCCTTGGATGTTAATAGGAAGTGTGCCTTGAAGAAGTGGGTCACTCTTGTTTCCTTGGATTTTAACGCTTGGGGTGTTGCCAAGCAAGCCATGGGTCCCTTCGATCCTAAATTTGCCACCGGAGGTTTGGTGGAAAGCGTGCAGGATTGTCTGGCCGACAAGGCTACAGCTACACTGCACCAACGCGTGGGACCCATCTTCAGGTATGTGCACTTTTGGAAGCTTCAGTTTGTGGTTTGCTTACCTGTGAGAGAGCATCAGCTCTACGATTACTTCAAGGCAAACCCGAGTGCGGCCCCGACTTCCTTCAGGTCGCTGCTTATCGCTTTCAGCTTCGCAAAACATCTGCTAGGCTTGATTGTGCTTGATGAGGCCTTAAGCAGCGGGAGAGTCGTAGGCCTCGCAAATGCTCATTACTCGACACGGTGCGCAGTTAAGCGCAGGCCTGCTCTAACCGTGGAGCAAGTGAAGCAACTTGAAGCCCTCGTGCTCAGCTCTTTGGCGCGGCCAATGGATCGAATCGCAGCAGGGTGCTTTCTGCTTATGGTATATGGTCGCCTCAGGTTTTCGGACATGCAGCGTTCTTCGGGATTCGTGATTGATTCAACCTTGATTGACGGAGTGGAATCAGGATATCTTGAAGGGCAAGCCGAGAGGACCAAAACCTCGGTATCACTTGAAAGGAAGATTCGGTCTCTTCCCATTGCTGTACCGCTGAAATGTGTCGGAGCCAGGCCCTGGATCAGAGCATGGCTTGAGCTGCGAGAGGCCGAGGGTCTCGATAGCTCGTATCCCACACTCCCGTGCCCCGCTACCGGAGGCGGGTGGACTAGGATTCCTCTTAAGGTCTCAAGCGGAGGTGCTTGGCTGAGAGCTTTGATTCCGGGCGCGAGTGATGCTTCCATTGAGGTCCAGATCGCAACCCACTCCTGCAAGAGCACACCGCTCTCCTGGTTGGCGAAGCGGGGCGTGCAGGCCGGCCCCCGGCGCACTTTAGGCTACCACGTACCGCGTAAGGACAAGTCGCTGATCATATATGCCAGGGATTCACTAGCAGCTCCATTACGGGAGCTGGACCGGGTCATAGACGAGATAGCTGCCGGTAGATTCAAGCCGGATCTCACTCGAAGCGGGATGATAGCCAATCTTGCGGACCCGCAAGCTCCTTCTGAGCCTGAAAGGGAGGCCGACGCAGTATCATCGAGCTCTAGCGAGGCATCCGATGACGAGGAAGAGGCCCCCGTGAGTGACGAGGAGCAGGCCTTGGAGCAGATTGCCGGTCAGTGGGGCCCCGAGCCTGGTGACGGGCCTTGGGCGCGTCACAAGCAGACTAGATTTTTGCACAAGGTGAGAGACGAGGCTGGAACCCACTTGAAGTGCGGCAGGGCTATCTCAGTCCGTTTTGAAGTTTTGAGTGAGGCGCCAAAATTTATGTACCCTACATGCGCCACCTGCTTTCCGAGCTCCTGAGGTTCAAAAACCGTGTCAGGAGTCAACGCCACGCGAGGGCGAAAATCGCGGGGTCTGAGAAAAGGCAACATGCAAATGTCACCTTGGTCGTGGATGAATAACCAGCGCGATCTCGTAGTGGCTGCTTGTGTCTTGGAAGTGCAGGACTACAAGTGATGTTTGAGCGATGCTTGTCACGTGAATTGTGTGTTGCACTAGGGAGCTGCCGATGACAAAAGTGATTGCAAGGCGTGCTGGGCCCTAGTCTGAGCTTGACAGTCTAGAAAGAAAGAGCCATGTCGTTTGGAGAGAGTGCGGCTGTCTTCAAGGCGCGAGCCAAGGACATTGGAGTTTCTGATGAGAGCTTCGCGAAGCTTGAGGCGGAGGGACTGACAACGATGGCAACTTTCGCCTTCTGCTGTCATTTCAACCCGTCTGCGACAGACGAGAAACCTCTCACCGACCTGGTGACCAAGGTTCTCGGTGCTGCGCCTTCCCTTAAGGAGATGAGTTGCTTTCGGCGTCTGTTCGCCGAGGCATACGCAACTGTTGCATCCGACATCCGATCGCAGGTGGAAGCAACAGAAGACTCATCGATCAAGAAACTAGCTCCAGCAGACAGGGCCGAACGTTTGCGGGAGCAGCAGTCCAGACTTAAAGGGCTTGACTTGAGGGGCAATATGGAGCCAGGCGACTCCTTGATTGATCGGGCTGTGGCGATCTACGAATCTGACAGACTCCAGTATGTGGAGTGGCAGCATTCTGTTAGCAGACAGCATGAGCTTCTTACAGGGCTCAAGAAGGATGCTTCGCTTACCTTGGATTCTGCAGGCGGCCTAAAGATTGCCAGCAAGCCCAACGTGACTCCTTGTGATGTGTCCACTGATATGATGGTTCGCTACGCCTTAGTGCGAAGGGGCCTAGCCTTTGAACAGGCGAACATCTTGGCGTACCATTTGCACGATGAGTTGCTTGAAAAGTACATGTCTTTCAGGCTTATGGACCCTCCTCCGAATCATGCGCGGGTGAGCTTGAAACAGATTGAGCAAGCTGATCGTCAATTCACCATGTTGCTCGCGGAACACACCCGCGGCGGCATCAAGGTGAAGGCAGGAGGATCACGGCCATGTGACGGCGCTTTCCGCAAAGTGTTTGAGAGCACTGAGTTCCTTTCAATGCTGACTCCGAGGCCTCTTGCAGTAGGCTCAGGAGCAAGCCGCGACGCTTCCTCAGGAGATGAGCCCCCGATCAAGCGCCATAAGGGCAATGGCAAGGGCCAGGGCCGCGGGCGCGGGGGTAAGGGAGCCGGCAAGGGCTCAACCAATGCCAGAGTCCCGGCAGAGCTCCTCGCACTCGGGTGCGTGGCCGCTACGCCTAAGGGGCATGCCTTATGCTTCGATTATTCGCTAGGGAAATGCTCCCGAGCAGTGGCCAACCAAAGGTGTGAAAGAGGACTGCACTTGTGTGCAGTCAAAGGATGCCATAGAGGGCACCCAGCCAAGGATTGCCCCGCGAAGAAGGCGCCCTCGTCGTGACTAATGAGTCAGACGAGCGCGCATGACCCACCATCGCCAGTGGCGCACGGTGGGCTAGATGTCACACAGAGCTATGGCTCAACTGTCGGTATGGAACCAGCAGCTGAACAGTCGCTCAACGACTCCACTTGTTTTCCCCCGGAGCCGCCCCGTAAGGCGGCTAAATTAGATGATGCATTTGCGTTTTGCGAGTCTTTGGCAAGTCACTTTTTACAATCTTCAGACTTCAGTGCAAACAACATAGCGGCCATCTTGGACGCTTTTCCTTCCGAGGACCATACTCGGACCTGGCTGGAATCCGATGGCGACTCTAAAGCCATCACTGTCGGTGCATGCAACCGAGGAGGAGTCACCGCTATTCGCAGCAACACGCGACGCATGCCAGCAGTGGCAAAGTATTTTGCCGCGTGTCTCAGACTCGTTGCACCCCAATGCGAGTTCACTTCTGTGTCTGTGCATCGGAACTTGCAAGCTCCAATGCATCAAGATTCCTTCAATAGCAGCGTGCCTAATGTAGTTGTGCCATTGTCCTTCTTCTCAGGTGGACACATCTTCGTCGTGCATCCTGAAGGTCCAGATCAAACCTTCTACGAAGATGCATCATGGACAGGCTTCAAACTTGATTGCGCTACTCATGCTTGGGCTTTTGATGCTAAGCATTGCAAACACTTCACCTTGCCGTGGCAGGGCTCCAGATCTCTTCTGGTTGCGTTTACCGTGGGTCATCTCTCCGGTTTAGCTTCCGATGATAGGGAATTCTTGACCTCCCTAGGGTTTAAGATCCCCAGCCGTGATGTCCAGCAGGGCCCCACCATGAAACCGTACCCTTTGCAAGGCTACGATTTGCGGTGTCCTCAGGTATCCACTGATTCGGCGCCGTTGACTCAACCGAGTCCGGCCTTCCCCTCCGCTGAATTGCCTGCGGACGGGCCTCTAGTGATCGAGCTGTGCGCCGGGTCCGCCATCCTCAGTCAGACAGCCGCCAGCCGCGGCTTTGCAATCATGCCCGTGGATCATGCTCACAACCGCCACACACCTAAGTGCAAGATGGTCAATCTGGACTTGACCCAGAGCCATTCCTGGGAGGTCCTCAAGTTTGTCATCAAATCCCGTCGTGTTGCCATGGTGTTTGCGGCTCCGCCTTGCGGCACTTGCAGTGCTGCTCGTCACTTTCGCCCGGGCCCCCCAGTGCTCCGCACCACTTCACATCCGTGGGGTGTCCCGTGGGCCTCCACCAGAGATTGTGTCAAGCTCAAGGCTGCCAATGCCATATACAAGCAACTATGCGCTTTTCTTGAATTGTGCGATCAGCACTCTGTGCCTTGGTGCGTCGAAAATCCCACTAACAGCATCTTCTGGGAGTTGCCATGTCTTGCGTACCCTTTGGCTCATGGTTTCTTCGCGCATTGCCAGGCTTGCGCTTTCGGCAGCGAACGAGATAAGAAAACATCTTTCTTGTGCAGCAGCTCGGGCATCTCTCGCATGGCTCTGATGTGCCCAGGCTGTAAACAACATGCAACGTGGGGCCTTACTTCTGATGACACCTTCGCCACAGCGGAGGAAGCAGCCTATCCTCCGGCCATGTGCCAAGCCTTGTGTGATGTCTTTGAGGCGGAGGCTGCCAGGCTCAACTACGCGTTGGGCTCGGCTCAGCCACTTTTGGCCCGAGCCCATAAGCAACCGCGAGGACGCCTACACCCACAGCTCTTGTCAGAGCACGCTGCAGTTCTATCCCGCCTCCTGCCCCGGGCCCCGCCTCTGAATCACAAGCGATGTCTTACGCAGGATGTGCACGGTGTCCCCGCGGGGAGCAAGCTCTTGCGTTCCGAAAATAGGGGGAATAAGGGTCTCTTCTGTGTTTTCGGGGTCTTTAGGAGCCCAGAGTCTTTCGTCAGAGAGGCCAAGCTGCTATATCATCCTTTTGACTCTCTTGCGCAGTTGCCGGACTACTTGATCAAATCCCTGTTTGAGCAGCTGACAAAATCCCCTGCAGAGATCTGCAAGTTGAGACTTCTTCGTCTGCAAAAGTGGAGGGCCAGAGCGACTGAGCTGGCACCAGTCGAGCACGCTCACCGTGCCAAGATGCAACCGTCCGTGAAGGAGATCCTCGCCAACAAGCGGACGGCGCTACTGGAGGAGATGGCGGCCGAAATAGACTGGCCCGACAAGGGTCTCTTCTCTGAGATGCGCCAAGGCTTTCGCTTGGTTGGGTGCCTGAGCCCTTCTGGTGTGTTCAGGGAAGGAGGGTACCTCGCCTCCATCAGCGAATCCGAGTTGATGGAAAATGCAGACAGCATCAGAGCTTCTCTCCTGGCACGTGTGTCATCCGATCCTCTTGACGAGAACGCCGAGGAGCTGTACGATGTAACTCTTCAGGAGGCTACCCAGAAAAAGTGGTTGGACGGGCCGATGACCCCAGGAGACATTGGAAAGAGATTCGAGGCGTGGATCCCGGTGCGCCGCTTCTGTGTTGTGCAAAAAGGACGCTTGAGACCGATTGACGACTTCAAGGAGAATCTTGTAAACCAAGCCTGCTCTACGAGCGAGCGAATCGTGCTTCAGGCGATGGACCATCTTTTATGGTCTCTTTCCGTGTTGTGCCACTTCTACCGGAAGCGAGGAGCAGTCGACTTTACCTTGTCCTCCGGAGAGAGACTGACAGGTCTCGTCCATCCTGATTGGCAGAAACCGGGGGCGAGCATGCAAGTCGCCACCTTGGACTTGAAATCAGCATACAAACAACTACCGTTGAACCCTTGCGACTTCGACAAAAGTGTGGTGACCTTGAAGGATCCCAAGACAGGATCCATCTCGTGCTTTGTCATGCGCACGCTTCCATTCGGAGCGTTGGCCTCGGTGTACCACTTTCTGCGGGTCAGTTTGCTGTTGCATGCCCTAGGATGCCACTTGGGAGCGTGCTGGTCAGCATACTTCGACGACTTCCCTATGGCGACTCACTCGCTGGTGGCCACGTCAACTTCGGCTTTAGTTAAGGGTTTCCTTAAGTTAGCGGGGTTTGACTTTGCAGAGGAGAAATGCACCCCCTTCTCTTCGGATGTCGAAGTCTTGGGAGTTACTCTGGATGTGTCCCAGAGCTCGGAGGGCCTAATCAACATCAGGAACAAGCCGTCGCGGTGTGAGGAGCTTAATGCAGTGATCGAGGAAGTGCTCAGGGACAAGGCCTTAGTCCCTTGCCGACTGCCGTCCTTCATTGGCAAGCTCCAGTTCGCCGACGGCCAAATATGGGGCCGAGCAGGGCGCATGGCCATGCACGACCTTAGGTCTTTAGGGTTTACTTCCCGGGTTCCGGTCTCCCTTGATGCCAGCGGGATCGAAGCGCTTAAGATTCTTCAGCAAAGATTGACGCATGGAAAGCCTCGTGTCATCCGTGCTGGGTGGAAAGAAAAGCCGATTCTGCTGTTCACGGACGGAGCACTGGAGGATGATAACCTTGATCACGGACCGGCTACTGTGGGGGCGGTCATGTTTAAACCGAACGAGCCCAACGTTTACGCTTTCGGATGCGAGGTGCCGGCAAACGTACTGTCTCATTGGAGATCCGATGGCAAGAAACATGTTATAGGTCTTGTGGAGCTTTACGGCGCCATTCTGGCTCTTCGACATTGGCGTAAACACTTGGACGGCAACCGAGTGATCTTGTTTGTCGACAATTGGCCAGCACTTGATACTCTTGTCAAAGGAGATGCATCCGTCGCGATTTGGCGGGAAATTCTTATGATCCTTGAAAACCCGCAGGAAGCTTCACCGTGCTATTTATGGATAGCACGTGTGCCATCCGCGTCCAACATTGCAGACGCCCCGAGCCGTGGATCGCTTTCCGAGCTTAGCCACTGGTCTGTACGCGTGGAGGTGCCCAGGTGTCCGCTGTCGAAAGTTGCTCTGAAGTCGATTGTGTCTCAAGGCTAAAGCAGACTGGGGGATTTATGCTTCGAGGTGCACGGTTAAACCGGGCACGTCACGATGAGCTGTGGCTCATATCTTATGCCGGGCCGAGGGGCCCGGCAACAGGATTCATCCCCAGTTTGCCGATGAGCGTAAAACAATCGAGTGAGCAGCATGTCAGCAGTCGCCATTTTGATATATTTCGCAAATATGTTTGCTAGCCCAAATATCATTTCGGGCAATACTGAATGATTACCCTTGCAATTGTTTATATGACATAGTTCCTCAAAGGGGAATTGTACATGTCCCCACAATCGTGGTATTCTTATCTAGATGCTGATAACCTTTTTGAAACTCCGACGAACTTCATAAGAACTCTGTCGAGCGCGCACGATATACCTTTATGAAACGTCGGACAGCCTTCCATGGGAAGGCGGTTTCAAAAAAAAAAAAAGAGAAGACGATGCACTCTTCTTGATTCCACTGGATTGCTTTTCATGGACACCACTATTGATTGCATGATCTTTTATTTTCCATGAATTGCTGAGTGAATTATTCATGATCTCATGCCGTTGCCAGTTTCCTCAATCAGTGTGAGTGAGGAGAACAAAATTTTGTCCCGCCCGCCCGACCCTGGGGGGATTTATGCTTCGAGGTGCACGGTTAAACCGGGCACGTCACGATGAGCTGTGGCTCATATCTTATGCCGGGCCGAGGGGCCCGGCAACAGGATTCATCCCCAGTTTGCCGATGAGCGTAAAACAATCGAGTGAGCAGCATGTCAGCAGTCGCCATTTTGATATGTTTCGCAAATATGTTTGCTAGCCCAAATATCATTTCGGGCAATACTGAATGATTACCCTTGCAATTGTTTATATGACATAGTTCCTCAAAGGGGAATTGTACATGTCCCCACAATTGTGGCATTCTTATCTAGATGCTGATAACCTTTTTGAAACTCCGACGAACTTCATAAGTTTGCATAAACCTCTAAAGGGGTAGCTCTTACAGGTACCTACAGCAATGGCTGCATGCTCATACATATACATTTCGCTGCCCATTGGCTCACAGTGGTTTTACCATTCTGAGACAAGACAAGCTCTCCTTGCGTAGCAAGACAAAACAACTACTGTCCGTGTGCAGGGCGCTGCCCTTTGATCCTCAGGGATAAACTGGTCATACACCTCCTAACAAGGAGCATTTCCTTGTGGGTGTATCGGCTCACCCCCCCCTTAGGGAAGACCCCTTTAAAGGGGGCTTTAAAGGGGCTTAAAGGGGGGCTTAAAGGGGGGCTTAAGCCCCCCTTTGTCAAAGGGGGTGGGGCCCATCCTCCTAGCATCTTTGTAAAGGTGAGCGATGCTATAGTTGCTTTCCAGCACAGAATGCCACACAGAGTCTTCTTTGCCAAAGTCTGCACACCTTGACCATCCAGTGAACCACGTGAAGCTATGCAACCTCGACCTCTACTGAACTTCAGGCTCCACGGACTGGAATAAGCCAAAGAGACTCGCGTTCAACGTTCTTGCTTGCAGAATAAGACTTCTAGAGCATGTACCTCTCACTCACAAGTTTTGCTGCCCAAGCGCACTGACAAAAAGCGGCAGCTAGAGACCTCTATCCGCAGCATCGAGAGAGAAGCAACAGCCAAGCAATCAGTCAGCACTAATAGCATACAGAGCATGGCTCAGACATCACTTTCATCTTTGGGGCCGCGAGCAATGCCATTAAGGTGGTTTACTTCTACTAGCTCAGAGCCTACATGCTCCTGGGCCGATTTTGAGGCATGCACCCTGCTGTAACCAAGACAGACAGAAGGCAAGTTGCATGCATATTCTAGGTATGTATGCCGAAATAACAGCGTCGCCTTATCTATGGCCGCAGAGAAATGGACTTGGCACCGAAAAAAACTTGGAGAGGCCCTGATGGGACAGCACTTCCTGCTTCCAGCTAGAATCCTATACTGGAGTCACTGCACAACACAGAAATGAGCTGCCATGCAAGAGTCTGACGTCGGACGAACTGTACGAAGACAAGGGTGTGAAAAAAAACACCTCGCGGATGATGCATCTCTCCGAGCGGAGACAGCACACTGCTTGCTGGCCTCTATGTCTCTTTTGCATCACTAAACCTCCGGAGGGCCACCATCAGAACACATTCAAGACTTGCGCCCACGAGCGTCTCAATTTCTGCTGGACTTCTCCTTCTCCTTCTCCTCTGTCTTGTCCTTCTTCTGCTTCTTCGGATTCGGTACCTTGGACTCAGTCTCACCCGGCGGAGACGGGTCCTCCACGCCAAGCTCTATCACGCCTGGAGTCGATTTTGCCTTTGCCTTGGCCTTCCTCTTGTTCTTGGGTTTTGTCTCAGTCTCCGCGGGCTCCACGGCGTTCTTCCACGATCACTTTCAGTCCAGGCACAAAGAGTTTGGACTTGTCAGTTGTCGCTCTGCATGAGCTTGAAAGCTCTTTTCTCCAAACTGGCCCGCAGTCCTTCTGCTCGGATGTGAAGCATAAGCCCCAGGATGCGATTGGAGATGCAAACTTCGGCAAGCTTGCCGTCCGCTCTAATCTGATCACTCCGACCACGTTTATACAGTGTATGATCTCCTCGAAGGTGGCCTTCGCGGTGGAATGGAATAAGAACGGTTTCTTATCGTTTTTGCCTCGCGGCTTGAAGCGCTTGTTGACCTCCAAGTCCTTCCAATCCGGAAGCTTGGTCTTCACGGGAAGCCGCCACTGCTCCTCATCGTTGTCCCAGTCGTCGGCCAAGAAGGGCTCCAACAGGTTTCCCCTGTTGGAGGAGTTGGATGTGTGCAGGCGGGAATGCTGGTTGAGCGTCAGTGGCTGCCGGGTCACCATGTGGATCCTCATCGCCGTCATTGTGCGGACACTTTTCTTGAAAGCTTCGAGTTTCTTTGGTTTGCCTGTCTTCGAGTTGACTTCCCTGGTGGCGGGCGAAATGAACCGGCTGAGCAACGCGTGCCTGTTCCCGTCTTTGCCGCAGTCAGAGACGCAGTACACGTCTCCATCGGTCAGCTCGCCGGTCGCTTCCTTCCCACGCATCTGGCAGAAGCGGAACAGCCTGAGGAAGTGGTCACCACGGTTGCGAAGGGCCGGGACGCGCAGGTGAGGCTGGGCTGTCGCTTCTCCACACTCGGAGGCCGCATACCAGATGAGGATGTGTTCTTTCTTCCCCAAATCTGGCACTATGCTGCCTGCTGCGCTCTGCTTGAGATGCTCCATGATTTCGTCATCCGTCATATCAGTGCAATAAACGCACCCACGGTGGACTGCGCCTGACGCACATACCTGTCCAACTTCTTCAGGTCTTCCGAGTCCTGCGGGTTCTCCGAGGCAGCGAGCTCGCTACGCAATGCCGTCAGGTCCTGGTCCCCCTCGATACCAAGCATCTTGGTGCCAAGCTCATCGCCCTCCTCGTCGTCAGCCTGCACCACTGCTGTCTTGGAGCCGTCGGGGCCTTCACCACTTTTTGCCTTCTCCTGCTCCAGCATCTCCTGGATCTCATCCAAGACATCCTTCACGGTTTTGCAGGTGAGGAGATCTGCGATTGACTTCTTACTTAACAACCAGGCATGGATGGCCTCGTCATACAAGCTGAAGAAGACCATGTCCTCGACGAGCGACAAAAACTCCGACGACGACTGCCGCATCGACGCCCTCCAGGTGCATGCAGGCACCTTGTCTTTGCTGTACCACTTTCGTCCCACATGCTGGCGAAAGACCTCCAAAGAGGAAGTGATATCCCAGATCTTTTCCAAGTCCTCTTTCTGAATGCCGGCCTCAGTCGCCCACTTCAGGAGCTCTTCCAAGATGTCCGGCTTGGCCATCACGACGTCCGCAAAGCCTTTTTGCACGCCGCCGGAGCCGGACCCGGCGAGCTGGGTTTTGGGCGTCAGCGCCTCGTGGTCGAAGAGATCCACGAAGTAACACAACAGCCATTCCAGCTTTCTGATGCAGCTGCTTCCGCTGCCGACCTTCCCGAGCAGCACATACAGCTTGTGGACTGAGTCGAGGGGCCCGTTGACTCCGTAGGTGTCATCTAGATACATCAACTTTTCAAGGACAACAGGGCTCCGCGTGAGAGCTCTGGAGGCCTCGGAGACCGGTTCGCTCAAGTTTGAAAGCCAAATCCTTATTGTACGCCTCGAAGATCTGCTTGGCGAAGCTCGATTTCTTGCCCTTGGCGTTCTTGGGCAGGTCCTTGCCAACCCTGGCTGCGAAGGCGCAGACATCTAGCGTTCTGCTCAGGGCCGAATGCCTCACGAGCTCCAGGCCCGGCTTCTCACGGAGCTGGAGGTTCTCATGGTAGACCTTCTGGTCGCTGTCGCAGACTTTCAGGATGAAGAAGCTGCACAGCAATATGTTCTTCCACTGCTTGATCTGTCCAGCGTTCGCGACAACGTCGCGGTGCACGGCCAGCAGGAGCGCGTGAAGCGATTTGAAGGGCACATGGTCAAAGGACGGGTCGATCATTTCCGCATTGCCAGAGACCCTCCGCACCACAATGAGCGGACGCAGCCATTCCGGCAGGTTTGAGGCGATACGCACGAATACGATGAGCGCTGAGTGTTGCTGAGCTGTCCAAAACACCGTCTGCTCCAACACCGCGTCCATGCAGACCAAGGCGCACCAAAGGGAGAAGGTTTTGGAGGAGCCCGCGCACCCCAGGATGCTGAGCGAGCTGCGTCCCTGCGCCCGAGCGGCTAAGATGGCCGATATGTGTCCGCACAGAAGTCCATCCGTTAAGGAGCTTATCGAGCCTGTAATCTGGGCAAGCTGGCTTGCTATGCAGTGTGGCTCTGCACCGACCCAGCGGTGGTTTGCTGTACCCAGAGCCTCCAAAGCCTCTCAACTAAGGAATGTGTGTTAAACCATTTAAGGGATTCTAAAAATAGTAATTTAAGGTGTGCCGTTCACCGACACCAAGGCTGGAAAAGCATGATCACACACGACATGCCCTCCCGCACATTCTCAACCGTTGTTGTTGGATAGGCGTTACCAAGAGCGGAGCAAGAGTTGGAGTTGGATTGCAGTTTGGTAAGGTTCATGTGCTGTGGGCTGTGCGAGCAAACACATCATTTTGTCGGACCATGTTGCTGCGCCTGCGGCGTTTGAGGTGGCTGACCTGCAGGACCAATGCCTGGACTCGCTCCGTAGCCTTTGGCTTAAGGCGTCTCGGCTCAAGAATTCCCAAAGGAAGCTCTGTGGAGGCGTAGTCGGAAGGGCCTCGCTGTCAAGGGATTAGGGGGAAAGGCTCTGGGAGACTCCTTATTGTCGGGCGTGAGGTGGTTTGCAGTTTCTTTGCAAGAGTAACTGATTCCACAAGTCTGTGCACCCGATTCCAACCGAGTTGCACACCTTGGGACAAACATTTTGCCACCCCATCGACGTGTAGGTGCGTTACACCCCTTCACCAAGATTCGACGCTTGGAATGGCAAGAAATCAGGAAAACAGCCATTCTGCCGCCTTGCAGTCTACAGCCCTGTGAGGATGATCCAAGCGCCAGCTCACTGCTGCCAACACCTTGCCCAAATCCATGTCGACAATGATGGTCAGTGTGGCTACGGAATCGGCAAGGACGCCTGACTTTCCGATTTAGCGATCCAACAGCTGGATCTGACTATGAGGGGTGCTAAATTCAGAAGGTCGAACAATCTCTGCTGGCTTAGTCTGCAAGTCGCGACCTATTTCACCCATTAGGATCTTTTGCACATCAAACTGAGCTTTTAGTACGCGTAGGTAGGGCTGGAAGTGCACATTTCACCATGGGGTGTTGTGCAAGTCCGTATCTAAAGGTTCGAGAACTCTTTGTGTGCTTGGCCTGCAGGCTGCAGGGCTTGCCTGTGTCTGTCTTGACACCCTTCCAGGCTTTGTGACGGTGCCTGCAGGTTCGTTAGCTCCTTGAACCAACCTCTCTGTGAGAGTTGGGGAGGAAGGCAGATGTGGTGCGTGCCAATTGCCGAAGGTGTCGAGTTGCCGTCGGCAGTCGCAGGTTAAGTTTTCCCTATATTTTTGCACTGTAAGTGCATTTTCAACTTCTTGCCGAGGGTATCCGTGCCACCTATATCCCTCTGACATACGTCAGTCGGCTTCATCGTCAGTACCAGGCTCTATTTGGCGATTGGGACTCATTTGGGAGCTCTGTACCGACCTGGCACCTCTATTTCTGTGAGAGCTGTTGGTGTTTGTACACGTTCTTATGTTCAGGAGAGATCCCGTATTGTTCTGTTAGGAATGACTGCACGTGACGTTGCCGCCAGGGAAACGTGCAAGCAGCTCTGGAGACATCTTGTTGAAAAGCTTGTGATCCTTCCCTTCCGTAGTTGAAGAGGGGGAAGCTTTCGCTGCCAGGATAGATCGTGTCTGCACGTCTTGGGTCGAGGATGTTGCTGCTCTTGCAGGTACCATCAAACCTCACATGCGCATCGTCATGATCGATCCTATTCTGCAGCGTGTCAAGGAGGTGTTAACACTGGTTGACGCTTCTAATGAAGTAAAGGTGGTTTTCTCTACTCCCAAAGGCTTCCCACAGGACTTGTTTTTTTGTGATGTCCGTAAGAAGTACTTACCTTCTTCAGACTATAGCATCCAGGTCAATCATTTTAGAGAGCAACAGGACCTTGTCCCTTCGCCGGTGCCTGCGAAGATTGGAGCCTCGCCCAATGAAGCTTTTCCGGTGTGGGCAACGTTTCGACGTCATGATGTTGAACGATCGCTGCAAGAAGGGTACGTTGACTCTGGGAATGTAACGTGGCAAATCAGTAAGTGCTGCTTTTGGCTTTCTTCCTGTGCACATTGCGGATGATTGGCTCTATATGGGATTTGCCAAACTGCGCGATCAGGTTTTCTTTCGGAAGACCACACAGGATCGCATGCTGGGGGTTACATTTGGAATTAGGCATCAACAGCTCAATGCTGATATCGCTGCTCGAGCCATTGCACTGCTGGAGACGTATGTTTCACTTGCCAATGCAGCTTGTGATAGAGGCGTCTCCCCCGACCTCCATATTTATGTTTCGCAGCTGCCATGCGATGTTCTCGGCCACCTCTCATCTTCTCTTTCTCTTGATGCATTTGAGCAGCTGCAAGCTTTAGTAGTTTGCAACATTCCTGTTTCTACGCAGGGAGGCCCACACATTGAGGCTATTATGCGGCAAGCATATCAGCATGATATCTTTGCATGCATCGTGAGACAGCATCTTGTTTTGCGCGCCACGCCGCTTCGCTATCAGGCCTTTACTGGCTCTTTGCGGCGCAATGCTGTCGATCTGCCGGAGAGCAAGATTCGAGGTGCGTGTAAACTCATCCCGAGGAAGCACTGTGCAGGGACATACCTCACGACCCGGTCCTATTTTGTTGAGTGTGTGTGCCCCTCTGTTGTCAAAGAGATCCACCTTCAAGTAAGGTCCCTCAAAGGAACGCTTGATGTTGAACAGGGTCGAAGCTTTATTCAAAGTCTGGGAGTTACCCCAACATATGATATGCGCGGCAAGCGTTCTTAGACTGTCATGGGGTCCAAGAGGTTGCCTTGCATGTTGTCATACCAGCTGCTGATGAAGCGACCCTATGGTCAGCTTATGGTGAACTCGATACGAGTGTCTTGATTGAATACTTCATCAAAGACACCAGTGTGCTTCTTCTTCCATCTGCTGCCAAGCGTACCATCCTTGAGAAGCCGGAGCAGCATTGGAAGCTTCTTTACGCCTGTCAACGTTGAGGACAAACTTGCGGTTGAGCGTTATGCCTATTCTGCTCGCTTTAAGGTCATGCAGTGCGAATGCGTCGCAACTCAGGAGTCCGTCCCGATACTGCACATCAGCCTTAAAAGCACCGCGAGAAGTCATCGCCACGCCGTTATTACACAGGCTCTGAAGGACTGTCCCAGCACGCATGAGGATGCCAGCGAGTATGGATGTGAAACCGCTCAGGGACTCTTTGGGCAGTACCATGACCTCCGATTCTCTGACGAACCACCAGGTGCTGACGTCAGTGGCGTTTGCTACGCTGCCTTTGCCCTGGCAGGCAAAGGAAGTGTTCTTCTTCCGCAGTTTGTACACCAAGGGCAGCAGGTGCATGTCTCCTATACAGGGGGCATTTATTTGTCCAATTTTGGGGATGCGGTTCTCATTGCCCCGCACAGGAGAGATTATGCCGCTGTCTTTGGGGTCGATGACAAGGTCTCGATCTCCTTCCTTTGTACCATAGTCAGCCCCTCGCAAGTTCCTGATAAGCATCCCATCCCTGCGCATGCTAGCCCACCTACCGATGACACTAAGGAGGCTTTACCACAAATTGCCATCCCGTGTCGCACTACCGTTGCTCCAACTTCCGCAGTAGAGGCTTCAGCTGTACGTGCTGGAAACATATCTCGTAGCGTGTGCTCAGCCCTTGCCAGGCTCAGGAAGGGAAGTCTTGAGGATACACCGAAGGAGCTTGTCGAGAAAGGGGAGAAAAAAAGCACCGCGACCCATGCCACGGGTCGAGTACCGAAGCCCACCCGCCCCTCAATTTCTTCAGCAAGCAGCAATTCGAATCGACTATCGCGAGTCAACCGTGCAAATCGCCGAAGGCAGCCTCCCGTAGCGACCAAAACGGACCACAGGGCAACGTTGCTGCTCGCGATTCAACAATTGGTGTCGTTGGCAGTGTTGTGAGAATGGGCTGCGAAATACTTCCGCTACCCTATCTACTGGCAATAGAATAGATCCACATCGGCAAACACCCAAGCCTCGCCTTAAGGATACTGCCGCCAAAGCAGGTGGCGATGCTCGCATTGTGTCTCCGCCTCCACCTGAACCATTGCCAGTAAGGGTTACGGAAGCCGCCCTTAGACATCAAGTTGCTGCCCGACTTGACTCGATTGTGTGCCACCTTGTGTGCGCCTTCCGGGTAATGGCCTGTAATAGGCTGACCAAGGAAGAATTAACTAAAGCGCCAAGCAGCATTCAGAATGCCTTCGTTGCAGTAGGAGCAGGGCTCGTTACTCGGGATTGGAGCAAGGAGATCCGTGATGGCTTCGCCGACGCGCTTTTTTCTTACCGCCCGAAGAACCCTGCCGGGCTACACTCGGTCAACGACACCATTGATAATGCGCTCCCTTTTTTGCAGAGCGTGTCACAAACAAACTTGGCGTTGAAGATCAAGTCCAAGTGTGCCTGTATCAATCGTATAAGCGTTCAGGCTGCTCTTCGGCTTGCTAAACATGCTCGATATACGGTCCCCTTGACTGACCTAGGAGCGCACGACGACATCCTCGTCAATTTTGATGCTGCTGTCAAGGCGTCGGTTGCACGTGTGGTAATGACTGAAGTGTGCCAAAGTGCCTGTGATGTTTGTCATATGCAACTCAAGCCTGATGGCTTGCGCTACCCACGGTCTTTCGTGTTCGTCTTGGAATCTCACAGTTCTTCCTACAAGGATGCTGCTTATGACTTGCTGGGGCACGAACTCACTCTTGACGACATCAATAATACCAAGTATCGAGTCCAGGCACTCGTTATCCATTGCCCTCACAGGATGCATTATTGCACGCTTGAGTTTGCTGACTGTGGGCTCGCTTATTCCTATGACAACCTGCGAGGACTGCGGCTCGTCTATCGTGACCAACTGCCATGCGAGTGTATCCCTTACGCCAAGGAGGCCCTCTCGTTCGCACAATGGCAAGAGGAGATCGGAGCCCAGTCGTCGGTTACAACTGTTGTGGTGCAAGCAGCTACCGCTGCCAGTAAGCGAGTACAGCAAACTTATATCAATGCTGCGTCTTATCTCTCTCTGCCTACTGCCTCGTCCTCTTTCGCTGCGTCCGTTTCTGGCACTGGGTCGTTTGACGCAACTCCGCGAATAGCGGATGAAGCTTTATTTTCCCATGTGTCAAAAATTTTGGTTTGTCAAACAAACTAAAAATTTAGGGCGTGAGTTTTTATCAAAGTTTTCTTTGCATGAAACATGACAGTTCATGTTGAGCGGATCTCAATGAATCTTTGTTATGCCGTCAGTTGGCTCCACAGGGTGGTGGGAGGGTAAGAAAAAATTTCCGGCATAAGTCCGGGAAAAAGTTTTGTAACGGGGACCCCGAGGCGTAACAGGTTCGACTTTTAACCTGGCTCCTTTCGACGTTGCCTCTAGGGCTCCGTGCACGCCTCCTTAGGAGGCAGATGGAAGCAAATGCTGATTCTTCTCCTGTGGCTTCAGAGCTACGGGGGCAGAGTCAGGAAGTCACAGGTGTTGAGAGTCTGATCTGTGCACTGATAAGCCGCTGCCTGCTGAAAGTGAATTGAGTTTTGATAGACATCTTGAGTGCCTAGGAGAGGACCTTGAGGAAGCAGGGACAGGGCGGCCTTTGCCTTCGCATCTTGATGCTTTCGTGCCTTCAGAGATAGATAGTGAGCAGAGAGAAGCTTGCGTGCGCGATCGAGAGTCTGCAAGGGAAGTGGTCAATTGTGCTGACAGCAGCCTGCTAAAGGATGCTTTGGGGGACTCCGTGCTTGCTCTGGGTAGGAGTGTCGTGGACATTCCTTTGCCTTGGGAGCAGGAGAGCATGAGCTTGGTCTTTGGAGAAGATGATTCAGTGACAAAGCTTTTGGCAGGTCTCCCGAAGCACATACCCGTGCCTGCTGTGTCCAGCTCCAACATTCAGCCTTCAGACCTTGTTGCCGAGCCACCGGCAAAACGCGCACGACAGATGCCTGAGAGTGGGGAGTGTTTCAGGGTTGCTATTTCTTCAAGGGCCTACGACAGTTATGAGGAAAAGGAAGAGGCTCAATGGCGACGTGCTCTTGAGAAGTGGCTGGTTATACTTACTGAGTGCCCTGGTTCGTCATATATCGGAGAAACAGTTGCCATCCAAAAGACTGATGACGCAATTGAAACTTTGCGTGAACTCTTTGGGCGAAAGAGTGGCAGTACAGACATGAAAAGGGGATCGGCCCTCATGGGATACCTCTCATGGGGGCGAAAGGAATGCAGGGGCGGTGACCTGCTCCCTTTCAAGTCCTCGCATCTGGATGGATACTTGAAGCACCTGAAGAGCGAGAAGAGGCCTGCCGGGGCCTTCACCAGTTTCCAGGAGTGCGTGAATTTCGCCATACATGTTGTCGGCATTGCTGTCGACGAGTCAGTCATAGGACCGAAGCAAAGCACTGTGTGGAGCCATTGGAGTAAAGGCGTCATAGGTCAGGCACAGCTGACCAAGGCAGAGCGGAAGCAGGCCACAGTTCTGCTTGTGGCATACGTTGCAGCCCTGGAACGTTTGCTTGAAGATGAATCTGTTAACAGCTTTGATCGTTACGCCTGCGGTGCCATCTTGTTTGGGATCTTCTCTCGGAGCCGAGTGTCGGATTTGAGAAAAACATTCAGTTGGTTTCTTGACTTCAGTGAACTTGCAAGTGGAGGCGAAGGGTTCATCGAGTGCAAGACGCGAGACCATAAGACTGCCAATGCTGTGGCGCATACAGGTTTCAGCATGCCTTTGGTTGCACCTGCGCGAGGAGTTACATCTTCAGCATGGGCTGTGACGTGGGCCAAGGTTGCAGAGGATGTCGGTTTGGGTTTTAGTTCCACCCGAGTAGGACCCGTGCTTCCTGCACCTGATCAAAAGGGGGGCTGGACTCGACGATGTGTCGATTCGGGAGAGGTCACCAAGTGGATGCGTGCGTTACTTGACAAGGCCGGCTGTGATGTGCCTGAGTCGTCGACTTCGCATGCCATCAAAGGGACTTCTTTAAGCTGGTGCTCTAAGTTTGGAATGGATAGGCATACCCGCCTGCGCTTAGGACATCATAGCTCAGGCGACGGATCCTTAGATTCTTACGGGCGCGACAACCTTGCGCCAGCCCTCTTGAAATACACAGAAATGTTGGGAAGCATCAGGCGAGGTGTGTTCATGCCTGACTTGAGCAGATCGGGACGGTTTGCTGATCGTCCGATTGTGAAAGTCGAAGTATCAGAGGATGAGGCTGCATCACCGAGTTTGCCTGCGTTTGGGGCTTCTGATGAGGAGGGATCGTTAGGCAGGACCACTGAGTCGTTCGAGAAGGTCGATGGTTTTTCCGTTGACAGAACAGCCGGCAAGTGCTGTGCACCGCGAATTGTTGTTGACTTGTGTACAGAGTCGGGTCGCAAGCAGTTCCAGGAGATTTTGACCGAAGAAAATTTGATGTATGTTCATTTTTATCCGCCCTCTAATACTACAAGCCGTGCCAGGTTGCGTCAATTTGCAGGAGCCCCTGCAATCCTGCGGAACGAAGCCCATCCTGATGGAGTTCCAGGGTTAGGGCTAACCGATCGTACTAAAGTGAGTGATGCCAATGCTTACCTGCGTGCTGTGGCTGCAGCTTGCAAAACATGTCACGAGCGCGGAGTGCTATTTAGCGTCAGCAATCCAGAGTCAAGTTTCGTGTGGGCTACCAAACCTTTGCGACTTTTGCTTCAGGAAGTTCCTCTCTTCACAACGCACTTTCACCTTTGCAGCTTCGATTCGCCATTCAAGAAGGCTATGCGAATGCTGCACTCTCTACCAAAATTCTTGGAGTTGCATCGTCCATGTGCCGGTGGACATGTACATAAGTTTTGGTCTAAGGGTGTGGGCTGTAAGTTCGACCGTGATTTGGATTTTCCTTGGGGTTTGTGCAAAGCTATGTCACAGCTTCTGCAAGATCAACTGCTTGACATGGGGGCCAAGCCTCTGCCTACTGACTTGAGTCAGACAACAGCCACAGTTGCAGCGGCCAGAGCTGTGGCTGGATGGCAAAGCAACAAGCGTGTCCTTCCTCTGGTTCCGGAGTTCAAGCATGTTGTAAACGTCAGTGGCAGCTTCCCTGCTGCGTCCATGCATGGTCTTCAAGTAGGCTGCAAACTCCCTGCACCGTGGGAGGTACCTGCATCTGCAAACGTTGACCCGTGCTTCGTGTCATCTGTGCCACAAGGTTCCAAGGTCCTTCGCATCCTCACGGTGCCGGGGGAAAGTTCAGAGGATGCTTCAGACGACTTGAGTGCAGGCCAGGCTGACGGGCAAGACGACTCGCCGCCAGCCAGTCTTCTTCACCGTACATGTTCGAACCTGCATTCTCCGCCTGAGGATGCTCACCCTGCTGAAAAGCTTGCCTGCATCATGTTACAGTGGAACACTCGCTTCAGCCAAGAGGAGATGCAAACTCTCTTGGACATGTTGCCGCAAAAACATCAGACCAGAGCCAGGGGGAGCTGTGATGACCAGTCCAATCAGTTTCTGTGCGGAGCCTATGCTCATGGGCCCATGACGGGCTGCAAAAACTTGACGCAGGATATGCCTTGGTGCACTGCCGTGCTTTGCAAGCATGTTCGCGATAATGCTCCGGGTTTTTGCTTCTCTGCCGTGGGCTACCTGTGCAATGTGCGAGCAGAAGCCCATCGAGATTTGCACAATGAGCCAGGAACAAAAAACCTGGTCATGGCAACGCACGCTTGTGCTGGCGGTGGACTGTGGCTCGAGGAGGCACGTGGACCTATTGCAATGGTCGTCGAGAAAACCCAACGTGCTGGGAGGTTTCACGACTTGGCAGTTGGGAGACCCTTTATCTTTGAACCGAAGCGTTGGCATGCTACTCAACCGTGGCGAGGTGACAGAGGAGTAATCGTTGCATACACCCCAGTGGGAGTGACCAAACTTGCGACTGCCGACAAAGGGTTCTTAGAAAAATTGGGTTTCCCCTTAGGCCCTTCTTCTGGTTCTAGCGATGTGCCTCCCAGGGTCGCAAAAGTACAAAAAGGAAGTATCACTTTCGGTGTGTACCATGAACCGGAGGAGTTCGTGGCGAGGGCGTTGAGCGTGCAACATCCGTGTCACTTGGAAAGCCTTTTGCCATCGGAGCTTGTCGAGGCCATACGGGCAAATCATTCCAAAGATGTCGCTACGCTTGGGCGCGAGCGAACTGAGATGCTCAAGAAATGGCTTGCTCGCGCTGAGGAGCTGGAAACTGCCGAAAGTCAGTTCAAGGGATCCTTCAGCTCCCATCGACGTCAAGTGTTGTGCAACAAGCGGCTGCTCTTGATGAAGGAAATGCTTGACAGTGTGGGACACGAGGACGAGGACTTGATTTCTGATCTGTCAAACGGTTTTGACTTAACCGGACCCTTGCCCCGATCTAATGCCTTCAAGAATAAGTACCGCCCGGCAGCCGTGGCCGAGGAAACGCTTAGGAAAAGTGCGGGTTTAGTTAGGGGTCAGGTTTTGGCTTCGGTTAAAAGTTCTGGGGACGAGATCGTGGATCAAGGCGTGCTGGCAGCCACGGAGAAGGAGTTGGCCAAAGGCTTCATTGAGGGGCCGGTGAGTGCTAGCGACATCCCTAGTGATGGGACGGTCACGCATCGCTTTGGAGTGATTCAAGGAGAGACCGAGGAAGGTCCCAAAGTTAGACCAATCGATAATTACTTGAGTTCGCTTGTAAATTCGGTTGTATCCCAAAGTGAACAAGTGCCCGTTCACACGTTGGACGTAGTTGCTGGCATGTTGGCGATGTGGTTGCACTTGTCTCCTTTGAAGTCCTTGCGTGCGGGACTGGTGTGCAAATGTTGGGACCTCAGTGCCGCGTACAAGCAACTGCCGCTCAGTGACAAAAGTTTCGAAAAGGATAGCTTTTTCGTAATCTTCTGCCCCCGCACACGCAAGCACGTCATCTACAAGCAGCGGGTCATGCCCTTCGGGGCAAAAGCCTCAGTGACTGCCTTTATCCGTTGTGCATTCGGGATTTGGCGGTTGGGGGTAAAAATGTTTGCCTTGGTCTGGAGTTTTTATTTTGACGATTTCCTATCGGCCTGCAAGCCTGAGGAGCGCCGACATGTGGAAGTCGTTATCAGCACTTTGTTTCGGCTACTAGGTTGGGATCTTTCACTAGATAAACTTTTGCCTTACGACGTGTGCTGTAAAGTTCTTGGAATCAAGATTGACATGGCTGAAGCTCGCCTGGGGCTCTTCAAGCTGGCGAACACCGAAAAGCGTGTGCTGGAGTTGACTGCTGCCTTGGACGAGGTATTGTTGGCTGGCAGGTTGTCGCATTCTGACTGCGAGAGACTTCGAGGTAGGCTGCAGTTTGCTTCTGGCCAGTTGTTCGGTCGAAGAGCGAAGGTTGCTCTGCATCAGCTTAGCCGGCATCATGGAGGTCGGTTGAGCGAGGTCACTTCCGAGGCGTGTCGCTTCTTGAGGCGTTTGGTTTCGTCAAACCAAAGCCGCTCGATTAGTCGGCAACTGGGCAATGTCGTGCATGTGTATGTGGATGCATCCTTCAGCGATGAGGGCAAGCTTTGTGGCATCGGGGGCATGGCATATGACCATAAAGGCTCCTTGCTCCAATGGTTCGGTGAAAACCTTGATGCTTCGCTTGTTTCTCAAGTCATGACGTCCTTTGAGCGTGTCAAAGAGACTGTCATCTTTGGAGGCTTTGGCGGTATATGTTGCGCTGAAGTTTTTCTTCAAAGCTCTTAAGGGCAAGAATGTGGTTGTGTTCACTGACAACGAAGGTGTTCACGGCGCCTTCGTGAAGTGCTGGACAGTGAGTCAGTTTGCATCGCATGTCATCGATGCGGTATGTGAGATTGAGGAAAACCTTGGCTTTATGATTTGGTACGACCGAGTTCCCTCTGTAAGTAATCCTTCGGATCCGCTTTCGAGAGGAGTGTGGAACCTGCCGACACCCGTGCGTGTTAGGCCTGCGGCAAAGTTCTTTGAAAGCTTTCTTGAGGAGTCGAAGTCACGACTGAAGTGATGTGCACAAGTGGTGCGGCGGCAAGTAGTTTGGGCGCTCTTAGTGCCAAAGACAGGGGCAGGGCAAGGCACTGCGATGCCCCAATCACGAGAAAAAGCGAGCCGCTAGTGTGAGCCGAATTTTTAGTAGTTGTGAAGTATATATTCGGATGAAGAGTGACATATCCTGAATTTTTATATGTATACTCTTTTGTATATATGGAACATGAACGCCCGGTTGACACATAAAGGGAAATAAGACGCAACTCCGCGAATAGCGGATGAAGCTTTATTTTCCCATGTGTCAAAAATTTTGGTTTGTCAAACAAACTAAAAATTTAGGGCGTGAGTTTTTATCAAAGTTTTCTTTGCATGAAACATGACAGTTCATGTTGAGCGGATCTCAATGAATCTTTGTTATGCCGTCAGTTGGCTCCACAGGGTGGTGGGAGGGTAAGAAAAAATTTCCGGCATAAGTCCGGGAAAAAGTTTTGTCCCACCCAGCCCGCCCTGGTGTTATCAGCACAAGTTGTGCTGCGAAGTTTCGCAATGATGCAAGTGGCATCCTTATACTTTCTGTACAAATCCGTGTGCTATGTTGTCGAGACTGAACAAGGAGCAAGCGCCCTGGGCCCGAGCCCAGGGCAAGGCACTGCGATGCCCCAATCACGAGAAAAAGCGAGCCGCTAGTGTGAGCCGAATTTTTAGTAGTTGTGAAGTATATATTCGGATGAAGACTGACATATCCTGAATTTTTATATGTATACTCTTTTGTATATATGGAACATGAACGCCCGGTTGACACATAAAGGGAAATAAGTTAATCGACATTTAGCCCCTTCGGCCTCAACACCTGATACTCTCAGTGTTGGTCACAATGTCCCTGATCCGGAAGATCATGATACACCGATGCCCCTTGTAGGCGAGACTGATAGGCACTGTGTTATTGCGGTTCAGGACTCGGCTGAAGAGCCCTCCAAGCCAGATGATCCTTCTCGAAAGAGAAACCCCCCAACAGAAGCCGCGCCTGCTTGTGCCAAAGTACCGAAACCTGAGGTACTAGCTACTGCTGCGACAGATAGAGGGGTCCGACAGTTGCGAAATACTATCGCTTCTGAGTATCGACGATCATCGGGATTTATTGGTCTGGCGCGATCCGCCAAGGAACTTTCCGACCGCGGCCCCCTGAGCTCCGCGTCATATGCTGTTATCTCGCTCTTCGATGGGGCGTGTACAGCAGGTGATATAATCAAATCCTGCCACAAACAACATCCCAGTGCACTGATTGCCGTTGAGAAGAGTGGCCCAAATACGAGATTTTGTTTCTGTGTTACGCCACTTTGACATCCACGGGCAATGGCAGGAATGTGGAAGTGGCTACCCAGTTGCTTATTTGAAAGATGTTGCTGACATCCTCGATAATTCGTGTAAACGAATTAAGGAAAGGTTGCAGCTATGTGATGTTACATTAGCCCGTGTCTATGTAGTCGCAGGTTCGCCGTGCCAGGATCTGACGTTTGCGGGCTACAGTGGGGGTCATTTAGGCCTTACGGGACCACTCAGTTCGGCCTTTTATTATGTGTGGGCAACGATTCGTGCGCTTCAGATTATTCTCCCATCAACAGTTGCCATTCAGCCCCTTGTTGAGAATGCCGGCTCCATGAAACTCATCTTTCAGCAACACATTGCTGTGTGCCTTGGGCTTCCTCAGAGCGCACACTCGGTTGCTGACGCCGTCGACTCTGGCAAAATTGCCTCGCGTAAGCGTTCCTTCTTTTCGCGAGCTGCCCCACCGGTTACTGGGGTGCAGCGTCACGCCATCTCCCCGCTAGATGCCGGATGGTCACCTGTCTTAGTTTCTGATGATCGCGGCCAAATTTCACGAGTTATCCTTCCCCCCTGTATGAGGCCAAGAGGCGAGACCCCCGACGGCGCTCCACGATTAACCACGGCTTTCTATCATCCCTGCTTCCTTTTGTACCAGGTCTCGTACTTTGGTAGCTGTGCTAACTTTGAAGCAGCCTGTTGCAGTCCTACTGCGCAAAAGCAGCGCTTCCCCGCGCTTCCTTGGGAGCATTTTTTCCCGGCACACCTTTCGGATTGGACAACTTTCGTCACGGCCGGCAATTCTTGCAATGGTTATATCGACAAGGGTCTCGAAGACTCCCTGGAGCAGCTTTTTGTCTATCTTCAAACGGCACCACTCCATTTTCGTCCCATTAAGCTCCATGAGCTGCTCACTGACCTTGAGCTCCTTGAGGCATTCAGAGTGGTGCCACGCTCCACTTCGCAAAGTCTTGTCGCCTCGCTTGCCGGAAACTCGTTCATACCAAGTGTTGTGCGGAGATTTGTCGTTACCGACCTTGCTGGCTGCCATCCCATTGCCTCGGTGCCCTACCAGGGCCGTGTTGCGAGTTCTGGCACGCCTCGGCGGTGCGGCTTCGGCTGATGCTTGGTCGCGTCTTCGGCACGTTCCCGGACGTTCCCTTTCATTCCTGCATCAGCGCTCCCCCGACTTTCACAGTCGCTGTGTTGTCTCCGGCTCTGCCTCGGCTCTGTCCTTCGGTTCCCCGACCTTAGCAGAATACCCCCCTGTGTTCTGTGACCGCTTCCTGGCAGCCGCGTCTTCTGCTTCTGGGCGGCCTCTTGCTCTCTTGAACGCCTTGGGATGGGCATTCGACTCCGAAGGGGACAAGCGGCTTGAGCTTCAAGAGACTTTCGTGGCTCTGGGAATCCAGGTCAACCTCGCTGACTTGCATCGGGGATCCTTTGTTCTTGCAAACAAGCCGGGCGATGTTCCAAGCTTGTGCCGACAAGGGTTGCATTACAAACGCGGAGGGGGCTGTCATTCAGGGTCATCTCGCCTTGCCACTGGGTTTTATGCTTCGCGAGGTCTTCGTTTCCTGTCAAAGGCCGTTTCCGCACTTGCTGCAAAGGATTCTACGAGCGACCAGGTTCAGAAGTTGTGCAGTTTGGCACAGAGGCTCCTCGGGGAAACCCCGCCAAGTCGTTTTGATCTCAGTGTGCACCGCCCGCCGTGGCTCATCTTCACGGATGGAGCTTATGAGCAGGGGAAGGCAACTGCTCGTGTGGTGTGGTACGACCCCGACGGGGAACGGGCCCATACTGCTGGGATCGACGTGCCACTATCCTTGATTGAGTTGTGGCAGCGCATGGCCGGAGCACAGATCATTTCTCAGGTCGAGGCCTGGGCTTTCTTGGTCGCCAGAAGGTCTCTTCCGCCGAGCCTTCTGCAACGCCAAACCATAGCTTGGATCGACAACGAGGCTGCCCGTATGAGCTTGATCAAGGGCTCATCGTATTCCGCTTCCATGAGGGACATTTCAAGGTTGTACCATCAGCTGACTTGATGCACCCTTCTCTGGTCTGGCTGGAGAGGGTGGCGTTTCACTCGAATCCGGCTGACTGGCCTTCCAGGGGCCTTACAGGTGAGGCAAGCAGGCAGCTGGGTGCCTCGCTATGCCAAAGGATTTGCGATCCGCAGCTCGAAGGTGCTCTGCTTATGCTGGAAGCGGATCCCTTTGATTGTCTCGATGGGATTTCGCTGTATAGTGCCACTCAAGGGGAAACCGCCGGCACTGCGATGCTCCCCATCAGTCAAAACAGAGTGTGCGTTCTTCTTTTTCAGTTTTTATATGATATATTCATATGAAACATATTTGATTGCAAGCTTTTCTCGAAGACATATTCAGATTGAGTTGGAAACACTTTCGTTTGAGACGCGTGCATTCGCTTGCGATGGCGTTGTCTCGGGCTCGGGCGACAGCGAAACCGCGCCCGCGCACACGCACGCGTGCATGAAGCGAACTGTTTTCACACTCTTTTATTTAACATGTCTTTTTGAATTTCATGCTTGCTTTTCTGGAACGAAGAAAACATGAACTTTGTGCACGGCAAAGTTTGGCTACAGGCATCGACTGTTTTCTTGGCCCACCCACCCACACCTTTGTAAACCGGTATTCTGGTGCGGCCATCCTGGACCCTCGGGTGTTTCTCACCTTTGACCGTTTCGCTTATATACCCCTACCGTCGAAACCGCCGGCACTGCGATGCTCCCCATCAGTCAAAACAGAGTGTGCGAATGATCGCTCTTTCTTTTCAGTTTTTATATGATATGTTCATATGAAGCATATTTGACTGCAAGCTTTCCTCGAAGACATATTCAGATTGAGTTGGAAACAATTTCGTTTGAGACGACATTAATCGGCACCCTCGCTTGTGTGATTTCAACACGAATTCTTCGGAGCAGCTGAATGCTTGGCTGGAGCTTTTTGTCCTGCTTACACGGCGCATGCTTGCTGAGACCTTTGATGTCTTCATTGTCCTGCTCGCTATGCTCTGGAACGAGTACGTGGTCCCACGGCGTCCGCCTGGCGTCGCTCCCGTGGTTCGCGAGCCCGGCGCCTTGCTGAAGCATCGTCGCCAGGAGAGGTCCTAGTTTTGCTGTGAGAGACGCCCACTCACCGCCGGCACTGTAATCATTCTACAGAACAGCAATGGCTGCTGGGTTGCGAGGGTTGAGCTTTTGACCAAGGCGCGCATGTTCCCGTGCAAAACTATGGCCTGCTTGACCTTTGCATTCTCGGTTGCGTTCGGTGACACATCTTCCAGCTGCCGACACGTCTCGCTTGAGCACCTCCGTCCCGTATCTGCACTGGGACCTGGACTTCCCTCGCGCTGTCGCAAAAAGGTGGGTGTGTTAAACAACACGTTGGCGTGAGTTCTTGTGCCAGCCGGCTGCGCAGCGTTTGCGAACGTGTGGATGTCGTCCTTCAAGCAAGTCATTGTGTTCGCCGATTCGCTCTTCCCTTCACTTGCGTTGTACAAACGGAAAGCTGTTCGCGCATCCCAAGCGCGGTATGAACAGAGCTTGTCTTAACCGTAGCGGCAGCCCTGGGTTCGGGGCAACACGGAAAATTCCATACCTTGGCTCCCGATCTTTCGTAATGGACCTTGGATGACATCCACTTCTTGCATGCGCTCGAAAATAATCGCGAGAGATAGTTCGACCCTCCGTCACAAGCTGACCTTGACACCTTTAGCTCCGCTTGTTCAGCCATTGGTGAAACTGCTCCTCCTGTAACGTGCGCGATGGAGGGTGCTTCTGCTGCAACTTTTTCAACAAGACATCCGTCATGCCTGCGAATGGCAGCAACAGAAACTTGGATGATTTGTCCTCCCGCCTCCTCCAAGTGTGTTGCGAGACAGATGGTCTTGGTTTCCACCACCACCGCCACCACCTGCGCCGCCAGCAGAGCCAAGAAACCTTCCAAATGCTGTACCACCTCCCCCACCGATGCATGTGAGCCCTTGCAGCGTGAAAGGCGCAACGAGCGTGTGCTCAGTTGGTCCTGGTAGGAATTGTGGAAATGCTGCACCAAATGAATGTGTTGACAATGTTGTTTCAACTGCCCAGCCCATGCGAGCTCCATGTATAGCGGCATGACCGTTCGCACTTGCCCTCCGCCTCCACCTCCAGCGCCACCTGGGCTTGCTGCGCGTGCTCCCGTGCGACCTCCCCTGCCGCGACGTTCGGGAAATGTTCGGGGCACTCGGGTAGGCGGTTCCGACGCGCCCAATGCTTTCCGCCTGGTATCATGAAATTGCAATGGCTTTTGGACAAGGAGCGGGCGTTTGCATGATAGTTTTGATGGACGTGTAAGGAACCTTACTCCATCTGATTGTACTGTTTTGTTGGCCCGAGAATCAAACTCACTCTTCGATACGACCCTGCCTGACAATCAACCGTTTGAATACGTCGGCCCGCAGAGCACGCGCGGTCGCGATGCTTCAATGCTGGTGCATCATCTGACGTCGCCTCTGTGCTCCGCTTTGCCTTCGTTTCATGTGGATATTTGTTGTTGGCGTGTAGTTTCTCACGGAACCGTGCCCCTTCGGCCATTGCAAGCGACTATGCTCCTCATGTTAACTTCCCAGAGCCTGAGCGTGTAGCGTTTTGGCAACGTCTATTCGTCTCACTACAGGAACTTCGCGCAAGTTGTCCGAAAATTCCGGTTGTTCTCGCCGGTGATAGCAACTTGTGTGTTGCAGGCCTTGTAGATGGAGGCCCTCCGAGGTCTGCAGACCGCTCCTGCGTGGCCTTATTGAATAGCTTGTTGAGCACCTTCGATCTTGCCATCTGCAACCACCGGAACTCGCCGACGCACCGTGCCGGTGCCGCGCCAGACCTTGTCATCGCCACCCCAAAGCTAGTACAAGATATTCAGGTCCATAACTCGGAAGTTTCTAATGTACTGACATGCTGTGTTTCCCCTTGTTGGGAAGCGACCATTTCGCAATCAGCATGGTGCTGAACAAATTTTCCGTCACGCTTCCAACAAAGGTGCGGGCACCCATGTTTTGTGTCCGCGACTGGCGAAGGTTGCTTGTCAAGAGTGGAGTTCTCGCGTAGGTGCTCTTGCCCAAGTTAGCCAACAATCAACTCGAGATACACCGGTTGCCCGCCAAGGACTTGATGCACTATACCATGATCTTTTGACCATACTGTGGTCGGCACATCCCGCGCAATACCGGGAGCCTTCCCGCAATGCGAAGCGCCAGCCCCGGTGGGACGACGAGTGTTGTAATGCTCTCGTGCGGCGCAATGCCGCTTGGCGTGCATGGCGGCGTGACCCCACCTTTGCTACGCAATGCCGCTTCCGTGAAGCTCGGAATTTCTTTCATCGTACCGTTCGTAAACAAAGGAAACTGTTTTGGTCAACGTGGCTAAAGCAATTGGACGGAGTCCGGTGTCCCCGAGTGGCTGCCAAACAAATCCGCGGCAAGTTTCGAAAAAAAATGGTCGCATCGCACATACTTTGTCCCCTGAGCAGTGTGCATCGCCGGCACAGGAGCATTCTTGCATGGATGATCATGGATGCATGGCGACATTTTTTTCAACATAGTGCATTCTTGGACCCTTCACAATTATTCAATGCACGCCATCTCACACGACTTCGTCGCCATACACAACGTATTCGCTCCGCACGCGCCCAGTTGGATGCACACTTCCGGCCCTTTACGTTTGTGTGAGCTTGACCGAGCTTTGCGAAGTAGCACTGCCGGCAAAAGCCCTGGTTGTGACAACATACCTTATGAAACCCTTCATGAAAATTTGGGATGGTGGAAACATGCCTTAGTACAATTTTGCAATGCATGCCAATATCGTGCCCGCGTGCCGTCGTGTTGGAAGCATGGCGTTGTTGTCCCAGTCCCGACAGGTGCCTGCAAGGTTGATCGTGACAATTATCGCCCAATCACACTCACTTCATGCTTTGCAAAATCATTGGAGCGCATGATCTTGAATCGGATCCAACCTCATGTGGATCCGATTCTTGACGACTCTCAGGCTGGCTTTCGTCGGGGATCGGACTTGCACGTGTACGCCCTCCTTGAAACAGTGCAATTGCGAAAGGGGTTCCGCACGTACTGCGCCTTCCTAGACATCCGTAAGGCCTTCGATGTCGCTTGGCGTGATGGGGCCCTCCTCCGCCTGCACCGTGCCGCAGTGTCAGGTCGTTTATGGCACTTCATCGATGATTTTGTTTCAGACCGCACTGCTGCAGTGCGCATCGAATCTTCTGTCTCTGAACGGTGGGGTGTTGAAAACGGCTTAGGCCAAGGAGCTGTATTAAGTGGTTTCGTCCTCAATGTTCTAAACAATGGGTTGACTGCCGCGATCAAACGAGCCTGTGCTGGTGTCCCTTGCGGCCGTTCTCCTGCAGCGCCACATCTGCATGTCTTGCTGCATGCCGATGACCTAGTAATTTTGAGCGATAACAGGTCCCTCGCTCCGGGCACGGACGCCACTCTTGCTGAGCTTCGCGATCCGCACTGCCGCCCGCCCACGGAGTATGCACCCCTGACGCCAGATGTTGTCGTTTTCCAGCCCGGAGCCCTGCCGTTCCCACTTCCCACTGTTGGCCTTTGTTGCGTGCCTACGGTCGGCTCGGCGGGGAGCCGCCTGGGGCCGCAAACGAGCATTTTCGCATTTTGCTTGATGAAGAAGGTGATACGCAACTCGTGCACCGTGCTGCTTGTCGCTTGGCACAAGCTGACGTCCCGATGCCCGCCTTCGCTGCCTTGCGTGTCGGCAGAATCGTCGCACTGCAGAAACCTAGGGGGCGGGGCGTTCGCGCACTTGTCGTCGGCGACGTTCTGCGCCGCCTGGTCGGCCGCACCCTCGCCCAAGCTTTCGCTGCGCATCTCCAACGGGCCGCGTGCGGGGACTGAGGCGCTCACGCGCGTGCTGCGTGCCGCCACTGAGCTTGCCCCACGGGCGACGGTCTTCAGTCGGCGCCTTCGACCACGTCGCCCGTCAGGCGATGCTGGGTGCTCTGGTTCCGCCACCCCGAGCTGCACCCATTGCTGCCATATGCGCCCCAACTCGGAGGAAGCCGAAGCACCTACTCGTGGGTCCACGAGCAAGGTCGGAGCCACGACAGTCCAGGGCGGGGGCGGGGAGCAAGGCGACCCCCTTCATGCCGGCATTGTATGTCCTCCTGCTTGACCGCGAGACGGCGAAACAGTTTTCAGTTTCTTGGACGACGCTTACGTTGTCGCGCCGCCCGAGCGGGTGTACGAACTTTACGAGGCCTTGCGCTGCGCTGTGGAGGCACGCTCACGTAGAGCTCAACGGCGGCAAAACGCGGGTGCCGAACGCTGCCGTCGAGGAGCCGGCAGGGGTCGCCGAGTTGCAGTCCCGTTCCGAGGCGACCATTTGGGTTGGCGATTGGTCCTTGCCGCAGGACCAACAAGGCATCGTCGTGCTTGGCACTCCGCTCGGCTCCGATGCATTCGTCCAAAGGCATCTCATGTTCAATTGTGCCGAACACGATTGCCTGCTCGGCTGCATCCCTGCGATTGACGACGACCTGCAAGCCGCTTGGCTCATCCTCCGTTATTGTGCGTGCCCGCGAGCCAACTACCATCAACTACCTTTTGCGAGCATTGCCGCGGGCCGCGACCTCGCACTTCGCTGAGGAACACGATGCTGTAGGCCGCTGCCTTGCCACTCTCTTGGGCTTTGCGGATGCTCCGCTGCCCCCCGCTGCCGCACGTGCCTCCCATTTGCCCTTGCAGTGTGGTGGCCTCGGCTTGCGTCAAGCTCTGGCAGACAGGCACGCAGCTTACTAAGCTTCCTGGTATGACACCCTCCCTGTTATCCGCGACCGGGCGCCGGAAGCCGCGGCCGCTTCGTTGCTTTCCTCCACGTGCCCCGGTCGAATCTGCTAGAGGCGAGGAACCCGCGGACTACCTGCGTGGCTGGCAGCGCCGTGCTGCCCGAGCTTGCGAGGACGCGCTTGAGACGCATATTACTGACCTTCCACCTGCGCTTCGCGCCTTGGTGGCCCCATGCTGACCGTGCGCTCACGGTCCTGCCCACGGCCGATGACTTCACAATCTCCGGCCCGCTGTTTCGAGTTCTCTTGCTCCGTCGCCTGCGCCTTCCTTTGCCACTCGGGCCGCGTACGTGCAGGTGCCGCCGCAGCCTTGACGCCCTGGGAGACCACCGCGCGGCCTGCGCCACATCGGGCGTGCTCCCGACCCGTGCGCTGCCTTTGGAACGTGCAGTGGCCCGCGTTTGTCGCGAGGCTGGGGCTCGAGTCGCCCGCAATGTCTGTGTCGCTGACATGAACATCGATGTTCCAGTCAGCGATGCACGGCGCATCGAGGTGGTGTGCAACGGCTTCTGCCTGTGTGGCATGGTGCCCAGCTCGCCCTGGATGCAATTATCGTGTCGCCCCTGACGCGTGATGGCCAGCTTCACCCAAGCGCCGATGTTCAGCTAGTCTGGCGTCTCGCTCCTGCGCGCTGAGCGCAGGAAACGACGGGAAACCTACCCGGAGCTGCTCCGTGCACGCCGTTGCCGACTCGTTGTGTTCGGCATCGAAACAGGGGGCGGTGGTCAGCGCGCCGTCGCTGCATCCCTCCTCGTACTCCCTGCTGACTCTGAACTTGGTGCTGCTGGCGAACCGCCTGCTCTGCGTCAGGTTTTGGCCGACGCACGCTGGCTCATTGCGCCAGAGCCCAGTCGCTTCTTGTGCGTAGCGTTCCCCTCGGCCCGCCGTAGTCTGCAGCCTTGTGCACCGGGACCGCTTTGACTTCTGGTAAGAAGGTGCGTGAGAAAAAAAATCCGCAGTCATGTGTTTCGGGCGCGGTCGAGCCCGACTCGCTGAATTCCAGGTGGTACTATTGCTTGTACTTAAACCGTACAAGTACTTTGGTATTGTGCTCCAGAACAACTCGGGGGGGCGGCAACATGTCGATAGTTTGTTGTCTCGTGGCGAAGGGAAAATGGCAGCGTGTCTATCTTGGACTGCGGTTGAAAACTTGCCCGTACTGTTTGCCAACCGCATTTTTCATTCATAGTTTATCCTAGTGCACTCTTTGGGCTTGAATTTGTGCTTCCAGGCCCCCAACTCGAAAGATTGCAAACACGAGTGTACCAACGGGGCCGTCGCTTGCTTAAATGGCCGCGCGGCGCCCCATCAGTTTCTCACTTGCAGTCATTCTTTCGCTTGTTATTAGGCTGTCGCCCAAAACACCGATTCACTGTTGCAGTTTTAGCATTCTACGAGCTCGTTCTTGGGGTCTTGCCCGATGCGGACACCATGACTTCTCGGATGGGCGTTCTGCTCGACACCGTTCTGCTGACCCTTTGACTCCGATTCCCTTGAACATGCATTCCTTTCTTGCAGCGCACATCAAAACGCACGCCAGCGCTGGATGCAACAATCTGGTGGCACTGCCCGATTATCGTTACACCGGCTCTTCAGCACCGATCTTTGCATCGACAGCGCACGTGACATTTCACGCAATATTGCCTACGTCGCACATGCTTGTCAAGCTGCTGCGGCATGTGAACCTACTTGAGCACATTCCGATTTGAGGCACTGCTTGCAACATCTTGCAACCGTTTTCCGTTCTAAACTTGTGTTTTAAATTTGTGAAAGCCAGTGAGTGCCGCCTTTGTATGCTGTGTAGTTGTACAAATTGTTCACCTCGCAGGTAGAATTTGCCAATGCTTCATTGAAGTGATGTTCACGTTACTTTTGCCTTTTCACGTTGGTTCTTGCTCATTGTGAATTGCTATCATGTCGACGGCGACCAGCCGCTGCTCAGCGAGGTTCTCTCTTCGACTCGCTTCGACGAGACCCCGCCCCTTGCCAGCCGTCTGCCACCGCGCCCTTGACAGCGCCTTGCCGTGCCAGCAAGCCTGGACTTCACGCCGTAGGACGTCGCCTTGGGTTTGGGCCTGCTGCACTGGGACCGCGTCGCGGATTGTCGCAAAAAGTGCGCGTCAAAAAAAAAAAATTGGCAAGCACAGAAGTGTCACGCTCTGACCATGACACATGGTCGTTAACGGACTCGTCTCTCTCTGAAATGGCTCACCGTTCAACTGCTGTGTTGGAAAACTACACAACACAAACATATATTGCTCAACAGGCACATGGCAATCCAGAATCGCCTGAGATTCGTCTATGCAGTCATTTCTTCGACGCCAGTGTTCGGATTGGTTGCATGGGCACCAACTGGAGTTTGCTGTCCTGTTTTCGGTTCGCAGCACCTGCCGCGATCACACAAGGAGCAAGCCGCCGTGCAGCACTCGGATATACCCGACCATTGGCTGATTAGTTAGCTTCCAGCTTGAGTGTTGATGTCCGTGGCCCAGGGCATGGAGTTGTGCATCGAGTACTGCGTCCCTCGGCGAATCACAGAGCTAGGTCGCGTGGTGCATGCCCATATGTGAAAACTTCGTATGCCCAGTTCTACTACGGAGAGCGTGCAACCAAACATGTTGCGGAGCGTGTTGGGCTCGGCATGGGTTCGGGTGTTGTCAGTGAAAGAGCAGGGGCACAAATCAAAGTTCACTCAGGACCAGTTCCGGTGGCCGTGACGACAATCACGGCAAGCAGCGGACTCAGTAATTGAAGACAGCGAGGAATGATGGGCACATGCCCGGCGTAGGATTTCTCGTCTTTGAGGTTGTTTGCTTTTGCTTCTGCTCGGTCCAGCACAAGAGGGTCGTGTAGTTTCAGCGAGCACCGGTGGCGGTGCTGTCGTGATGGCTGTGCCCCCAGCTTCCAGCCGTGGATTTTTTGTGGCTGCGGGTTGCACTGCGCCGAGGAGCCGCCCATGTCTCGGCCCCAACTCTTCCGGACCTTTGCCGTGGCAAGCGGGTCGTGCAAGGTCACAGCCAAACGGTGTCCAACTCGGGCCCGAACCTCGCGTTTTTTCAGTGTGTGTTTGCCCAGGAGTGCGTTGTGATAGCTGATTGGCGAATTGGCACGCATTGTGCAGAATGTATGCAGGCAGCAAGTCGACTTTAATCGCTTGGGCCTTGGAGGCATTGTTAAATGTTTGATGGTCTACGTTCTTGTTGTCCGCAGGTCGAGGAATGACAGCGGGCACCAACGAGGACATGGCAATGGTTTCGAAACTGTTTGCTCTCTCTTTTGTTGGAGGGGCGTTCGCATGGGCGGGGGCTATGAGTGGGGGGGTGGCAGGGCAGTCGGAAGGGGCGGGGTGCTCAAGAAAGAAAGACGGAAAGAACTAAGTACACGGAGCTTTCAAGCTGTGCTGCTGCTAATACTAATTTCATGGTCATAATTGTTGGTACTATAATGATTTAGAGCAAGATCTATTGTTATTGCAGTTGCGCTTTTTGCATGATTACTCGTATTATTTCCGCGTACTGCACGATGCAGTGCCTCCCAGCCCCTGCCGCCTCGGCCCGTAGCGCGCAGGTTGCACGGGGACTTGGACTTGCATGTTAGGCGGACGGTAAGAAGGCACGTGGAGAAACAAAAATATCACCACGGCGATGACTGTTATTGCTACGAAATTGTACTAACTATACTACCACAACTACTGGTGACAAAGAACCATTACTACTGCTACTATTACTACTGTTGCTACCAATGCTACTGCTACTACTGTGACAACAACAACTACTACCGCTGCAACTACAAGTAGGACAGTTATTTGTGCAATCGCAATTGATAGTACTAAAACGTTCACTACCCCTACTATTATTTTTCTATTATTGTTCCCACGAGCACTACCACGATCTCTCTCAGTCTTACTCTGACTCTTGTTTTTATTCTTACTCTTATTCGGTTTCTTACTACCACTGATATTGCGATTTTTATTGCCGTGATATGATTACTGTTACTACTGCAAGAAACTGTCTCCATTACTGTTGCCATAGCTGTTATTGTTCCTATTACCGTTGGTATTGCTGTCATTTTTTATTGTCATTACTATTGCTACCATGACTAGTACTATGACTATTGCCATTGCTGCTATTGTTGCTATCACTGTTGCTATTGATGTTACTGTTGCTAGTACGATTACCAGTACCTACTAGTAACTACGCGGTAACAACTCGTACTATTCAACAATTACTAGTACTATTATTATTGCTACTATTATTACTGTTGGTCTGTAAGTATTACTTTCATGACTACTCTTATTCCTTGTGCTTGCTAGTATTACTACTATTATCACTACTATGACTATTTTTGCTAGTATTATTACTAACGCTATCATTACTTCTTTTATTACTGTTACTATTATTGTTTCTACTGCCATTATTTTTGCTAGTACTATCACCATGACTATTACGATTGCTAGTAGTATCGCTATACATTTGCTAGTAGAAGCCCTATCATTATGCGTATTATTGTTAATAATATTACTATTACTAATTACAGGCATGTTCCATTATCGCTTCACGTCAAGTTTTTCGAGGCCGTCGTAATGCCGGTGGCATGTTTTGGTGCAGGGCATCGTAAAATGTCCATGCCTCATCTCCGAAAGTTGGGTTCAGAGTGGCGACGATTGCTTAGAAGGATGGTTGGGCCACCTTCGGGGCTTGATTGAACTTTACCATGGTATGAAGTATTGCACAATTGGAATGAGCATGTCCGACGGTTGACTCAGAGCTTACAGCTGAAAAGTTGGTCTTCTAAATGCCTCCATTCCTATTGGAATTTAGACCACCATGTGACAATGTTGCAGACAGAGAGAGAGATGTGACAACATTGCCAGCGGACCGATGGGTTAAACGCGCGATGAATTGGTCCCCAATTGGAACACGAATTCTTGGCAGACCTCGAAATTCCTGGCAGATGCATCTTGAAGCTTTTGCACACTTTTCTGAAATTTGATAGCTGGAATGAGTGTGTGAGAAACTTTTTCGATGTCGCGCGTGATGCATTCTCTGATTGGGCACAGTTTCGAACACAATAGTCATTCGTAAACGGATTGTGTTCCGAATAATTCTGACGATGACGTGATGTCATGTTCAACCGCAGTTTGACACCACGATACACCGTGTATAATCACGCGCAGTTGTAGCGTTGTGTTTTATTGCTAGCTTCTCCAAGAGGCCGCCTTATGGCATGCAGGACTTGACTTGACTTGACTACCTTATACGGACATACTAGTCTCACTACCAGTATTACCACTATTGCTGTTATCATTGCTATTGCTACTGCTACCATTACTACGACTGCTACTTCCATTGCCATTCTCATTGCTATTGCTATTGGTACTACTGTTACTGTCAGAATTCATGAGTTTTACTTTTACTAGTATTAGAATTGTTACTGTTACCATTACCGTTGGCATTACTGGTGCTATCCTACGACTACTAGCATTTGCTGTATCGTTTACGACTACGATTGCTATTATTGCTATGTGTGCCAAAATTATTACTCCTCATATTCTTGCGGTGAATACGAAACTATCATTATCACTATACTATTATTACTGTTACCAATACTATTACTATTAGTCTTGTCAGTATTACTTTCAGTATTAGTATTCAGGTTACGATTGCTTTAGTATACTACTACAATTACTCTTTTAGTGCTGTTGTATTTGCTATTACTTAGCTATTTCTTGTAGTATTGCCATCATTATTACAATTTTTAAACTGCCAATACTTGTATTATTCCTATCACCATCACGATTACTGTCGCTACTACTATTGCTGTTTCTTTTGCTTGTACTATTACTACATTTGTTTTATTCCTATTATCATTGTTACAATTATTATTACCGTTTTCATGTCTTTCCTATTGCTCTCAGTATTCTTGTTCTTATTATCATTATTATGTTCCGCAATTTTTACAAGTTTCCATCACTGTTCCTGTTAAAGTTATGACTTATTACTTTTACCATCCCAATGTTAATACTTATGATGACGATGATTATGATTACTATTATTACCTTTGCTATTGTTGTTATTTCTTGCTTACTCATCCTAGTATTCAGTATTCACATTATTCCTTTTCTTCCCGACCTCCAATCTCCACGCCCCCGCAACGGCCCCCACCCCCCAAGCCCCTACTCCGCCCGATCTAGGCCGGGAATGCGACGTGTGGTGTAGCAAGCATGGCATCGGACAGGACTGGCCCAGCAGCACAAACCGCTTCGGAGGAGCCAAAGATTATTCACAGCTTGAGGATCGTCACAACGAGCAGGCAGACACTGAGGCAACTCAGAGTTCTTATCAAGGGCTGGAGTTGGACCGCCCAAAAAGCTCAAGAGCCAGATCGAAAAGATATTCACCAGGGTTGGATGAACGGTTTCACATGGACCGCACGGACGAGCCACAAGAAGCTGCACAACAGGCTGACGTACCAGCAGACAGCATTCCAGGTGATGGGGGTCATGATTTGCAGCAACGCTTCCCAGTTCCGACCAGCGTGGATGAAGATGTCGGGCAGCAAGGAGTTCCCCAAATAGGTGACGAGCCAGCAGCCGCTCAAGCTGACCACCGTGATGATTCCCAGGATGGCCAGGAACGCCAGGAGGGTACAAACGATGGACATGAGCCGATTTCAGAAGGCTACGCGAGCTTGAGGGCTCAAATGGCTCGGTCACCCAGCATGCAGATTCCAAGCCTGGCAGTTGCAGATGTTGCTCCCCAACCAGATGGTGGAGAGCCCGCAGATGAGCCAGTGGCCACTACGGCGGACGATGAAGCCCCTGCAGGTGAGGCAACGCAAAGCCAAGTGGCCGATGAGCCAGCACAAGGTCAGGCGGCCACTACGGCGGACGATGAAGCCTCTGCAAGTGAGCCAACGCAAAGCCAAGTGGCCGATGAGGCAGCACAAAGTCAGGCGGCCACTACGGCGGACGATGAAGCCCCTGCAGGTGAGCCAACGCAAAGCCAAGTGGCCGATGAGCCAGCAGAAAGTCATGTGGCCACTACGACGGACGATGAAGCCCCTGCAGGTGAGCCAACGCAAAGCCAAGTGGCCGATGAGCCAGCAGAAAGTCATGTGGCCACTACGGCGGACGATGAAGCCCCTGCAGGTGAGGCAACGCAAAGCCAAGTGGCCGATGAGCCAGCACAAGGTCAGGCGGCCACTACGGCGGACGATGAAGCCCCTGCAGGTGAGGCAACGCAAAGCCAAGTGGCCGATGAGCCAGCACAAAGTCAGGCGGCCACTACGGCGGACGATGCAGCCCCTGCAGGTGAGGCAACGCAGAGCCAAGTGGCCGATGAGCCTACAGAAAGTCATGTGGCCACTACGGCGGACGATGAAACCCCTGCAGGTGAGGCAACGCAGAGCCAAGTGGCCGATGAGCCTGCACAAAGTCAGGCGGCCACTACGGCGGACGATGAAGCCCCTGCAGGTGAGGCAACGCAAAGCCAAGTGGCCGATGAGCCAGCAGAAAGTTATGCGGCCACTGCCGTGCACGGGGAAACCCTTGCAGGTGAGGCAACGCAGAGCCAAGTGGCCGATGAGGCAGCACAAAGCCAGGCTGCCACTGCCGTGCACGGGGAAGCCCCTGCAGGTGAGCCAACACAAAGCCACACCACCGGAGCTATTGCAGATGTCGCAGCATCGGCAGATGTACCAGCAGTGGGGCAGACGGCAACTGCAGAAGGTGAAGCCCCAGTAGATGGGCCGACAAGCCAAATTGCAGCTGGTGCAGAAGACCACTCGGCGCTTGCAGATGTGCCAGGTGCCAAAGTTGAATCAAAGGACCCGAGCATTGGGACGAAAGACGAAGCTCCAGCAGCTGAAGCAAGCGGAGTTGGTGCAGGGCAGGCGCTGCAAGAAGCTACCGAAGAAACGAATGTATCAACGGCAGAGGGTGCTGCAACAGCGCCGAGTGAGGACACATTGCACCGAGTTTTCGAGGAGAAGAGTGCAACAGCTGCGAGCCTGGCAGCAGAAGAGTCTTCACACACCACTGCCCGGACCGGTCAAGCAGACCAGACCGCAACACGCAAAGCAGCTCTGCGTGTCAATCACACCGAGGAGAAGCCTGGAAGCGGGGATGATTCGCAGGAGGCGCAGGTCGCACAGCCAGCCGTCACTGACGCCGTGAGCGCAAATGAAGTGCCGAAAGGTGGCTCCTTGAAAACACAGGCAGAGCCCAGCACTGCACAAAAACAAGGGGAAGCCAACGAGAGCAACGCCACTGAGGCAGGAGATTCCATTCCAGTCGAGTCTAACTGGCGCCCCAGCGTGACAACAGCACAGTACATGCAGCGATCAGACTCAGACTCGCCGCAGCGAGCAGCGAATGTCAGCATGCTGTCGAAGAAGGCATCCCGAGCCCAGGCTTCGGACAAAACGGGTGCGGCAAGCCGCAGCAGAGACAAAGCAGAGGCTTCGCCGAGAAGCACAAGCCAACTAAGCCAACAGCTGCAGGATCCGAGCCTTTCGAGCCGAGGCGCAGAGCCGACGCCAGCGGCGAGGCCATCCCTCAGGGCGACGAGGGCGACGAGGCAAAGCAGAAGCAGCGCTGCACCAGAAAAGGTTGACAGGCTGTCGGAAACGGTCGCAGAGTCACGAAGTGACCTGGCCATCAGGAAGTCAAGCTTGTCCCGAAGTGAGACAGTCGCAGAGACTTCGGCTGATCAGGGCGGAAGCCAGCGAGCAGCAGGTGGAACTGGAAGCATAACCGCCGTAACCACATCTTTGAGAAGTGGCTTGAGAGAAGCCGAGCCTCAGCCTTCAACGAGATTCGCACCTGCAACTGCTGCAACGGGGAGTGATCTCGAGAGCTAACGTCACAGTGTCACCGCAACCGCGAAACTCTCGGCAAAGTCTTGCACTACCAGGGACGGCTCTGCTTCCTCGTGGTCACGAAGCAGGTGATCGCATGCCGAAAGCTGCAGCCCATTTCCTTGTCTCACCCTGCCTAGCTTTGTACGACGAAACGGAAGAAAGGTGCAGCTGCTGCCCAAAAGTGGTGGTGGCGTGCACACACGAACCTCATGCAAAGCCCGGCGGTTTGTTGCCGAAGAAGTTGCATCGCTTTTTTCGTGGCCTCAGTTTGCCAGTGCAGCTTTGGTTTTTGACGTGTGTCGGCGGCACAGGCTCAGAGCCCTTGTTCTGTACAGCCCACTCTGGTGTGGGGTGCTGTGGGTGCAGGCTTCACTTTGACCATGATGCACAGTGCCACCAGCTTCCAGAAGATTTCAGCATCAGGTCTAGCATTTCAATGTCTACCAATTGTAAACAATGCTGTGAATTTCGCCGCTGGCTCTGCGGAGATGGCCATATTCGAGTGACGGCTGCAGGAGGTAGAACTCTCGTGGCAGCGAGACATTGCATGGGACGCTCGCTGCACCGCCTGGCATGGAACATCATGGAACTGAAATGCACCCTTTCATGCGAAGGCTTGCCGCTGGCCTTCGAATGTGCGCCCTTATAGCAGCTCGGACAAGTGATGGGACCTTGGAGTGTGTTGAAGTGGCCTTTATCTGTTGGCATCTCCAGTGAGATTGTGCCGTCGGCTGTTTCGAGTTGCGACCCAAGTCCGACTAGTTGGGTCGAAGTATCCCCGCGGGCTTTCGGACTGTGCCCAGCCCGGGGTCCTGCAGGTAACGCTCTTCAGGTTTGGGAGTTGTGGAGATGTGTGGATCTGCAGGAGTGGCATCGGAAGAGGCGAGGTGGTCCAAAGCTTTGCCCTCTCGAGCCTCGCGCTTAGCGCGTCAGGGCTTTCGAACCATGGACAGGCCGAGTCAGTTTGAGCAACTGGGGTCTCCTGGCCCGGCAAGGCGAAATGACAGTGCCGACACGCAGTGTGGCTACGGGGCCGATGTCTCAGACAGACGGAGCAGTCATGCCAATGCGGACTTGAACATCAGTCCATCTGAGTATAGGTCTTTCGGGTAAGATGCCGGTACAGCACAAACCTTCGAGCGCTGTAGCCGACAACCTTTCTAAATGATGTAGCCTGTCATGGGCATGGACGCACTCCTAGTCTCGCAGCTTTTCAGTGGATGTCGGGGAAGTCTTTGAAGGGAATGAAACTCATAACGAAGGGGACCTTGAGCACACCACCCCATAGAACGCGGAACGGAGAATATTTTTCCGCCGGCAGGGTTCTCACGAGCCTTGCGGTTGATGTGCTGTGTTTCATTCCAGCGAGCCAAGGGCTGTGAATCCGTGTCTGCGAAGGCGACGCCGTCACCTTTGTGCTCTCCTTTGGAGGAGGACCAGTGTTCCTTTGAAGGCTCTGGAGAATCTACAAGGAAGACTTCGGAATCATAAAGCCTAAGATTGTTGTAAAGTACTCTTGCTGACTTCTTTCCGGACGAGAACCAGTGCGAAAGCGGCTGCAACTCTGCTCTTCGGCACTGGCTGTGTCGAAAGGGCCGGGAAGGCTCGAATAAGACATCTGGAGAATTGCGGGCGCTGGGCGCCGGCGGGGGCAATCCTGGGCCCTGGTGGGTTGGTGTCGGCTGTCGTCTGTCGTGGAGCCCGGCAGACGGATGTCACGGCCCGGCCTAGCTTGCCGCGGCTCCTCGCATGGGCCAGGATCCAAATGCTTCGACGCCGACTCCAATGCGTACACTCGCCATTTCCCAAGTGGGAGTGGCGTTGCTTTCACTTCTTCGGCTGAAGATGGATGGATCCTTGTGCATGGGCCGAGGCCTTGCGATCTCTTGTGACGCTGAGGCATTCCCATGCAGCCCTGTGGTGTGCCCATCTCCAGCGGAGTTCAGCCGTGAGGCTCGGAGAGACAAACTTCAGCAGTTTTAAACCGAGGGAGCCGCAATCGTATTAACTAGACACTGCAAACTTGCTTCGCGACTCGTTCAGCCATGCAAGAGGCAAAGAAGAGAATGAATGTCCCGAAAGCGCTGGCTGCAAAGAAACACCTCATCCATCCATCCATCCATCCATCCCTCCGTCCATCCATCCACACATCCATCCATCCATCCATCCATCCATCCATCCATCCATCCAACCCTCCGTCCATCCATCCACACATCCATCCATCCATCCGTCCGTCCGTCCATCCATCCATCCATCCATCCCTCCGTCCATCCATCCACACATCCATCCATCCATCCATCCGTCCATCCGTCCGTCCGTCCGTCCATCCATCCACACATCCATCAGCCCTTCTATCATCCCTTCTGCCAAAACTTTTGTAAGCCGTCCTATAAGCCCTGGTACAAACCTTCGACAAGTACTCTTGGGATGACTCCGTGTTGAGGCTAAGCTCTACAAAATCTACGCGGCACACTTATGCGCAGCGCGCTATGGCCCGACCAGCCTGATTACTGGAAGGGGTGCAACCCCTGCATCCATCGTCTAGTGCCAAACTGGCCAACCTGTGCTAGGGCTGTGGAGATCTGCTGTTGTGAAATGCCACAGAAACACTCCCATACTTTCTTTCGGCCAAGCTGCTTGTTCTTGCTCGCGATGGGTGTGCTCGCACTTCCGCACGGCGAACACACAGGCAGGAGCTTCCCCTAGCCATCCCTAATCGTGCAGTGTTACTGTGTTCCGTTGACAGTTGGTATGTGCAAGCTGAGATGCCGGAAGCCGTGTGCAATCTGGCAGCAATTTGAACACGTGCATGTCCCGAACACTTCCGATGTGCTTTATCTTCGCGATGGCTCGGTCCAGTACGAGCGAGACTAGATCGTAGATGTTGTAGTGGCCTTAGTGTGAGCGTGGACTCCGGCCCCCTGATTCTTTTGGGAGGATCTCGTGCGGAAAAATGACCGACAGGCACGTGGTGAGTGTGGCGTGACCGTCCCACTGAAGCATGATGGGATGAACAGTAAGTTGTGGGAAGACAACTTCTCGGGTAGCTGTGGCCCGATGATAGGCAACAAGACATGCTCGCACAGATGAACGTCCTCAGGTTTACAACGAGTACGAGTTTCTTGAAGTGCTTGGGGAAGGCTCCTTTGGCAAAGTTCACAAGGTGCGTCAAGTAAGCCCGAGGTACTTTTGCATTTGTCCAGAATGTCTTGAGAAGGCGCGCCACCGCCGCACAGGTATGCTTCGAGCCTTTGGCCCCAGAAGACTTCTGCCATGCTTTCCTTGGCCTTGACCATCTTCCGTGTCTTGTGCAGGCTGTGAAGGAGATACCACACACCGGCACGGCAGACGAAGAGTTTCAGCTAGAACTCAAGGCTCGTTGGCAAGAAGTGATTCGAACGTGCAAGGTTTCCGCTTTATCCGGCTGAGGCTTTGCAGGAGCTAGACCATCCACACATTGTAGAGGCACGTTACAGACATATGCCAGGCTGCTGTGCATCAGTTGCAATGTTGGTCCGAACGTGAAGACTACGGACCTTTGCAGGTCATCGAGTACTTCGATGATGTTACTAATTTCTTCCTCGTCATGGAGCTTTGTACAGGTCTGCGCAGTTGATTTGTTATCACAGCCGCAAAACTGCAAGTGCTTTTAGACCACTGCAAGCTGGCGATGGATGCCGCTCTCTTGAGCCTCGTCTTGCTGCAAACGGAGGTCCTGACGTCTTCACCTATGTCTTGGAGCGCATGGACTCGCCTTTCTTCTGCATCTATGCATGCTTCGGTCTCAAGCAAAAGGGAGGTCTTCGTTGTCAAGCCAGGCCAGATGGCGATGGCTTCGTTCCAGAAGCGGAAATCGCAGTTATTTTGAGGCTCTTCGCGGATGCAAGAGTAGGATAGCGGCTAGGGGAACTCTCTGAATTCAACCTGATTGCGTGGCACATGACTGCGGCCATCGTGATCATTTCCACGTTTTTTCTCGGCAGGGCATCCATTCAATTGACATGTTGCCGCTGGCCTCTCTTGGCTCAGGGCTTTTGGCTCAAGGCCATGAAGGATGCGGCAGTGAAGCATCCCGGGGCACTGGCCCTGGCGGCCGCGGCTTGAAGGGATGCTGTGGTGGAAGCTGGGATGCAGCGCGTGCCTTGCGCCGAGTGTGGACACGAAAGATGAGCCGGGTGCCTAGCTTGCGAAACCCGAACTCCAGTGGAATTGTCGAACCCTGGGTGAGACTGAAAGGAGCGTTCTTTCGTGGCCCTCTGCGGAAGGGCCAGACGCGAGCCGCGGCATGCCGGCCGGCAGCTTAGTGACCCACGGGTTATTTGACGCTAAGCTTAAGGGTGCAAAGATTCAACATTTCGCTGCCGACATTCCGCATGGAGTCATATTAAATTGTGGTTTGAAACCTCGACTGCTAGTGAGTGTGGTGCCAAAACGGAAACGTGCCAGCAGCAGCGTCGTGTGTTTGGATCGTTTTCGGCTGACATCTCAACCAGACGCCACTGCAACGTGGACCTCTCTGTGGATTTCGGCCACTCCTTGAGCATGTTTCTGGTTAGCCCGTTGGGGGCTCACGGTTTCGACACAATTCCAGTTTACTTCAGTCATGTTACCCTGGATGTCGTGCCCTGGGCGAACATTCCGATTTCATTCTCTTCTGTTCACGGACAGCAATCCGTTCGTTTGAGTGGCTGGCACTGTTCTACTACTGGTCTCTACTTGGCGTTGGCATAGGCATAATAAGGAGTACTCTGTCTGAGACTCAGGAGAGTGAGATGGCCCATGCCCTCAAGGATATGCAGAAGAGATATCCTCTTCTTGCACTGCCCTCGCACGGCCTGTATGCCATTGTGCAGGACTGTTTGTTCTACCGAGGGTACCTTCCTGGCTTGAATTTGTGGGTGCAGGAGTGTGAGACGGCCGTCTGCGAGGGCGACGAGGAGAAAGCCAAGGACATCCTCGAGCGTTTGGAGCACGAAGTTGAGCTCGAGGCGCCGTTTGCGAGTTTCAGACGCTCCTTCGGCACTTCCGCACTTCGGCACTTTGGCTTCACGGCTCAGACCACGACGCTAGCGGCGGCCTTCAACCTTTTCAAGAAGCCGGGAAAGGAGACCTTGTCCGAAGCGGAGGCATTGCCCTCGTCTTCTGCCGCAACTGCATCTGCTGCGTACCCTTCTCAGATACGTACCATGCTGGAGTACCTCGGCTTTCCGAAGGCTCGTTGCATGGCAGGGAGACTGCAGCAGGAAGAATCAGCAAGATATGATTGACAGGAGGATGACGATGTGGAAAAGCTTCTCAAAGCAGTCGACACTGATGGAGTCTGGGGCCTACTGTTGCATTAAATTAAAGCGTCCACCTCAGCTTCGGGCAAGGACCGCCAGATGAGTCTGGTGGAATTCCACCAGTACGTCGCTCGCATGGGAGGGAGCTTGCGCCTTTTCGAAATCCGCCGGAAGCAGATGGAAGCGAAGCACGGGTGGGGGACCGAGTGTTTGCAAAAATTGCCGAGAGATTCTTGCCGATGCTGCAAAGTTCGAGGCATCGAATGGGTGCCGAATCCGAAGATCCTGAGCAGCTGCGGCTGAACCTCCTGGAGGCCGGGATTGCACCGTCTAGCGGCAAGGGCACAGGCAGGCCATCCCCAAAGATGACAAAGCCCCCCGAAGCGTTCGGACTGCAAACGTCCAGCTGCTTACATCATGAATACACACATCCACGACGACCCTGAACTCAAACTGACCTGCAAGCTTGCAAGGCCACACCAATGAGACACACACGCACAGGGGCACACCGAAAGCTTTGACGACCACAAGCGTCATGCTCAGAGGCGCGGTGTCAAGCCTAGGCCCCAACGAGATTAGTGCAGACCAACCGTTTCCAAAGGGTAGAGGCGCAAGCCAGCCCCCACCACATCCTTCACACACACCAACAACCACGCCTTGAGTCCGGAACGAAGGGCTCGGCTGCGTTGTGACACGAAGATGTTCCTCTGCTTCTTTCCTACATCCCTCTCCTCTGTCAGGCAGGCATCAGAGACGATGCACAGGCATCGGATGCGGCATCAGGGTGTGATTTTGCACCGGACTTGTGGCAGCCATTGCAAGGCGTATTGGCGGCTCGTGGTCCCCCCGACGGAGTTCTCCGAAGCGTCCAAATTGGTTGAATGCCAAAGAAACGCAGTTCGGAGCCGAGTTGCACCGGGGGCGGCAGGCTGCGTGGTATGATGCTGGAGGCATGTGGGCTTCATGCACTCAGGTGAGGCATATCCGAGCCATGGCAAAACGGAACCATGACGATGCCCTGCCAAAGTTGCAGAGACGCATTGCAAAACTGGGGTCTGACATCAAGGAGACTGACCTGTGGATGACGTTGCTCGTCTGATTTAACACAACCATTCAACATCCTGCAAGCGACGTCCTTTTCTTGTCGCAAGGGCTCCCTCCAAGGCTGGCCTGGATCCGTGAGATGGCCCCGATCATCGTACACATCGATCTCCAGAAGATGCTGCGGTTCCTGGAGAGTGATACGCACTATCGGAATCAGCGCCGTGCTCGGGCGGCCTTGCGCGTGCGCCATGCTTGGGTGCGCCCTGCACCTTCTTGGCAGTCGCCTGCTCAGGTTCGAGACTGCCACGTCCGGAGGCCGATTCTCAGATGTTGCTTGCACTCGGCTACGACAGGTACCAGTCCCCCCATCCGTGCTTAGGGAGGGAATTGGTAATTGTCCTACAATGATGGCTTTAGTTCTAGAGCTGCTCAACACATGCGTGTGGCCCGAGTGGTTGCCTCTATCGCCTATAGCTGCCACAATACTACAGTGCTACAGTAGTCCTGCTACTACTACTGCTGCTGCTGCTACTACTACTACTACTACTACTACTACTACCACTACTACCACTGCGACCAACACTCCGCCAGCAAGTCACGGGGAAAGCCCTGCGAAAGAAAAGCACCATTCCGCGGAGAAATCATATTCAGATAAACACCACAGCGCCAGGATTGCAGTCACGAAAGCTAGCTCTGTGGAGCTCGCGGGAGTTGCCCTTTAGCAATTCACTTGTATTAAGGCACTAGGGAAAAAACAGGGTTTGCACCTTATCAGGTGGGACGTCCAAGAGTTAAGGTGGGGGGTAGGGGGGGGCCCCCCCCCTTCACCTTGTCATTATGCGTTTTCCACTGATAAGGTGCGCTTCCCTCCCTCCTTTAAGGTGGTTGTGCCTGGGATAAGGTGGAGGGGGGGGGGCCCCCCCCCCTATCATGAGGTCCCCCCCTCCCCCCCCCTCCTCAAGGTCCCTTGGTTTTGTTTGTGTCTGACGTTCGGCGACTGAAGTGCGGTCTTCTCTCCAGAGTTACCTCTAGTTGTCGTTCGCACATTACTTTCTCAAGAGTTAAATGAACGAGCAACGCCTGCACCCTTCACCGGCCCAAACTTTCCCTCCGCTACTGTCGTGCACATCGCTTTGCAGAGCTCAGCACCGGACCTCGTGCTTCTAGCTTTCGTGACCAGCTCTCAAGTTTCGTCGCACTTGAGCACTTAATAGCACTTACGGGATCATGCGGAGGACATGAAGTACAGAAAAAGTCAGACAAGTGCAGTTTCATTGGCCTTCGTTGCCTCGCTGGATAGTTCCGAACGGACGACTTTGGTGCAGGAGCTTAAGCGGCACAGGGTTTGCAAGCAAGTGGAACGGACTTTCGTCCTGCCGCAGTATTGATCTACACATATCTACACTAATATGTATGCTCCTGAAGTGATCCCTGGCGTAACGGTTTCTTCCAGGACTTCTGAAGCCCGCCGTCCGCGAAAAGTGGGAGCGGGACCTTTTCGGGGGCTACTACGACAAAGCGCAGGCCTTCCTCACACGAGCCAGTTGTAGCTATCTTCGGCTTGCTTATGCTTGCTTCATAGTGCGATTTCAGGGCTTCCACCGATGCAAGTACGGCGTGCTCAACGCCATGAATGACCATCGCGGAGTGATCCGCTGTGTCCAATACGGGGACAGCTACCTGGTGCTCAGAGATGTGCCCGCGTCCCAGTTTGCTCGTGGGGCTTCGAGTCCAGGGCATTCCAGGGCATAGAGGTTTCCACAGGAAAGGCGGCAGTGTACAAGAGTCGCAACGGGTTTGCCGCAGAAGATATCGACGCCACAGGTATCGGGTCGAGAGCTGTTTGTTATTGCCGAAGCACGCCGCGTTTCTTGCAAGGGGCTCCGAGAATACAAAGCAATAGCAGCTGCTCGCAAGGGAGACGTGCGAAGACTCAGAGAACGGGAATAGTCATAGTAGTCGTAAGCATGACTGCCACGCTATCGGTACTTTTATTCCATCATCATGATTACTACAGCGGCTACTACTGTGGTTCATTGGCAATTGCAGACCTGCCTCAGGCGGCTGCGGTGTACTTTCTCTCCGGAGGACTCGGCAAACCTCAAAGCAGAACGTACGCCTGGGAAGGGGTTCTGGGGTGGGGCCCGTGGATGTTCAGAATGGCAAGTTTAAGGCCTCACCTTCAGGCCACTCTGTGCGACGCCCTAAATTACAACGGTATGTGCGAGTGGTGAAATTTCAACGGTACACATGCTGTCGCACGCTCGCCAACTCCAAATCCGGTGAGACTGACACTGCCTAAGCTGGACTCCCCTCGCCGCCAGGTCTGGCGGTCCTCGACTACTACGGACACGTGCCGTGAGCTTGGAGGGTCGTGCACGGCCTGCCTGGGAGTTGGGAAGAGACGGGGGCTGTGTGGGACCTTTGTCGCCCCGACAGCCTTAGAAAGAGGTCTTCGAGGATGAGGGTTCAAGTTCAAAAAATTCATATTATTACACGCACTTTTACACATACACATACACATACACATACATACATACATATAACATATATATATATATAGCATGTATGTATGTATGTATGTATGTATGTATGTATGTATGTATGTATGTATGTATATATATATATATATATGTATGTATGTATGTATGTATGTATGTATGTATGTATGTATGTATGTATATATATATATATATATATATGTATATATATATATATATATATATAAAGTACACATATACATATACGTATACATATGCATATACATATACATGTGCATATAATCACATACCGTAGCCATTTTGGCTCAAGAGTCAAGCTTCAACAATTGGGCACAAGTCCCGGTGCTGCGGGATTGTTGGGACCATGCCGCTGTCTGAAGTGCAAAACAAGCTCTTCAAAATTAGTGAGACCGCCATATCTTTCCGAGGCGAGAACCCCAAGAAGCCAGGGTCCAAAACTTGGGAAGGTTTTGGAAAATACGCAAAAACATACGGCGAAGCTACCACCTTGGGTGCGCAGTGGCAAGACATCAGTACCGACTTCCAAAAGGAATTCGTCACATTTGGTGATGTGGACATGCCGGTGCTTTCCAAGAGATCAGCGCCAGACGGTACCCCGGATAAGGAAGCAAAAGCTGGATCTCGACACAGACCGGCACAGGTACATAAAGGAGCACTCAGCGCACCCAGTAATCAGGAGGTTGCACAGCTGCAGATGAGTGCAGCAACAATAGCCATTTCACAAACCTTGATGCGAGAAGAGTTATCCGAGGTTGAGCATCGTATATCATCCAAGATCGATGCATCCATTGCGAATTTGCACGCGGAGTTGGCTGCCGAGAAGCAAGCACGAACAAAACTTGAAGAACGCATCGCCCGATTGGAGAGCAACCATGACCCTCACAACCAACATGCCCGAGAAGTCAACAAATCCATCGTGGTCATGGGGGGGCTTGGGGACAAGTCAATGGAGGAGGCGGAAACAGTGTCATGTGAAGTTCTGCAAGAGGATTGTTATACCGTCACGGATACCGAACCTGCTCTGGCACTCGCTCAATTCGAATGGTCAACCACAGCAATGAAGTTCATTCGTTCACAAGCACGAACGGTTGCAAGCCGCAAAGTTGTGGGCTGCAGAGAATCGTTCCCGCGAAGATCGTCGCCGTTTGAAGGTTGTCAGCAAGCTGAAGGAGTATCTTGGTGAATTAGGTAGCCACACCCCAAAGAACGTGCTCGCGAGTTGCAAATCATGCAATGTGGTTATTCGTGACAACGCAAAGCTCTTGCCGATCGCAAGCATCACTGAAGACTCGAGTGTAAACTGGTTGCACAACGGTATCGAGTTACCGCCGGTTCAGGTGGCACGTGAGGAGTTCATTGCCGACATGGAGTAGGATGAAGAAGTGGCGATGCTGCACCAACGGAGGTTGCTCCGGATAAGCGTGCAACACGCACCACACAGCAACATGATGAATTCATTCATGTAGATACATTCACAACTGTCAAAAGATGCCAACGCCACAATCATGTTCCAGGAAAACTTCTCCACCAGGCAACGCGCAGTTTGGACGTGAGATGACGTGAGCACAGACAAATGGTAACACTGCCGTTGCAGTCAACATCCAATTTTCCTTAGGAACAACATATAAAGCCAACAAGACCATCTTTTGGGAAGCTTGGCGGACAGACTCGCAGAAGCAGATTTTGTTTGGATTTGCCTAGTGCGAGTTCAGGCTTTTACATGGGACATAGCATGTTTGTCAGGTGAGCCTTTCACAAGTGATCGCCGCAGGGTCTGGGATTCTCTCGAGAGAGAGCCAAGCCGGCTGCAGGTAGAAAAGAAGGGCTCTGTGTGCCCTTGCGTTTGCCAGTGGCGTGTGTGTGCCACTTTCATGGTAGTCGGAGCTCCTCGGTGAGATCCAGGGGCCCGCTTTTAAGAAGACCTTCGAGACGCCGGAAGCCCTCGACCCCTTTTACCTGATTCTCCGCTTTGTGTACTTTGCGTTGACAAGGGCTACAAAAGAACTGTGGCCGAGAGGAGCACTTCCTGTGCTCGCGAGATGTCCTATGGCCCGAAGGACGGGGATGCTCCTAGCTGGGATGGAAGCCCGAACACCTTTGAGCGCTTTGCTGTGGAGTGCCGTTGGTACCAGTTTTCCTTCAAGAGCACCGAGCGCCTGTTTGCTGCCCCCCGTGTGTGGCACAAGCTGACCGGATCGGCTAAGAGCGTGGTTCGAAACCTGAATCCCGAGGTCTATGCCACGGCCAACGGGCTGGATAAGCTGCTGTTTTGCAAGGGTCGCCTCTCCAACGGCTGCCGGTTCCTGACACCTTTCAGAGGCTGGAGCGCTGGTCGAATATGAACCGACGGCAAGGAGAAAGCATTCCTCAACTTATCGTCCGCGAGGAGGCGCTCTTTGTGGAGCTCCAGCAGTCCCTTCAGCCAGCCCGTGGGCAGAAGCCGCTTCAGGTTGCCACGGCGGACGACGAGGACGACGACAAGAAGGATCGCCCGGATGCCGCCGGGAGTCCGTCAAGAAAGCCTGCTGCACCTGAAGCTCCGTCTCCGACTTCTTCGACGAGGTCGAAAACGGTGAAAGGGCAGGCTGAGAGTGTGGGCTTCTTCGAGGACGAACTTCGGGGATACCGTTTGCTGAAGGCCTGCGCTTTGCAGAACCAAGAACGGCAGCAAATCCTCACGCTGACGCAGAACAGCACGAAGTTTGTGCCCGTGCGCCAGGCTCTCCGCACTATGTTCGACGAGGGCTGGGAGCAGACAAGGAGGCCGCGCCAATCGGCGTGGCGGCTGGAGCCGGGACCCGAGGCCTTCTTCCACGCCGACTTTGACGACTGGTCCTGGGAGCAAGAAGCAGAGGGAGCTGAAGCCTACTGACAGAACGAGCCGGACGACTGGAGCGCGTACTACTACGGCGAAGACGAATGGGCCCACAATGGTGAAGAACCTGCTCCTGACGAAGTTCATGAAGAAGTTGATGCTGGGCCGCCGGGCGAGGAGGAGAAGTCCCTTCTTGAGGAAGAGGCAGAAGCTTTTGCCATAGCGGAAGAAGCGCAGAAAACACTCCAGCAGGCCCGGGACGAGGTTCAGAGTGGGCATGTGGCGTCGGGACAATGGAGCGCTTCCTCAATGCCACAATGCCGCTACAGTGTCATCCTCGAGGACCGACCGGTGTTCAGGTTCGGGAATGGAAGGACACTTCAAGCCACCTCGCGCGTCGATGTGGTGACGGCCGCCATTGGCTTGATGCAGGTGTACCTTCTTGATGATGCTAGCAGCCAGGAGACTCCTCTTCTTCTTGGCGGTCGGATCCTCCGCGAGCTCCAGGCTGTGATCAATTATTGAGACCGAACTCTGATGTTCCAGAAGCGAGGAGGAGAACTACGGCTTCTTCCTCTCGGTTCCACCCCAGGGGGACATCTTATTGTCAACCTGGCAGCGTCAAGCCGCAGCCTGGGACCTGTGAAGACCTACTTGGCTGAAAGGTTTGGGGTACAAATGCCCATGGAGTCCGGCAACGTGAAGGCTGTTTTGTCAAACCCGGGTTTCTCAGATGAGGCCCGCCGAGGAAGAGGTGCCATCATCTCCGGCACCGAGGAAGACAATGCTCCTCCTGTTCCAGGGGCAGCCTGGCACTCAATGATTGAGGTCCGAGAAAAGGAGTGTTTCGCCTTTGAGGTTGTCGGACAGCAGCTGAACAGGTTCGTGAATTACATGTTGCCAATGCTTCTGGAAATTGCTGCAGTTTCATGTCATGCCCATGTGCTTCAACAGCTTGGTGCCTCCCTGTCGAGCGAGTGTCTTCGCGTGGCGCATCACGACCTCATGAGCCACCCTCCGAAGTTCCTGTTGGTCTCCAGCAGCTCAGGCTCAAGCTCGATTCCCTTCGCGACCGCCAGCATGAGCGAGCCGCTGCTGCCAGCGCCCGAGAACGATCCTCGATGGAACAGCTGGCCATGCTCCGGCAAGCACACCCCGGGCCGCTACCGCAACAATCAGTACGCAACCTGGCGGACGTGTTCCCGATGTGCCTTGAGGTTGGAGTACACACCGAAGCAGGGCTACAAGGGGATCTACCGACAGGCCGGACCGAGCAACACTGTGCTGGCGACGGCCATCGGGGAGATTCGCATGGAGATGGAGGCATCGGAGGTGACGGAGAAGCATGTCAACGACAAGTGCATGGAAGTGGCCGGGAGATTGAGGCAGCAGGGGTACAATGTGACGACCCGGGAGCCAATAGTTCGAAAGACGCCGGGACCTATATCCTCGACAACCTCAACGCCTCGAACGACGACAAGGACACTCAACGGCGGCTACTACCAGCACGGCGGAGGAAAGGGTGAAGGGCTCGGAGCCAAAGGCATCCGCGATGAAGAAGAGCCCGATATCCAAGGCGAAGGGCAACGATGCCCGAGAGAGCGAGGAGGCGGAGAAGGAGGTGTCCCCGGTGAACCTCTCCAACGAGAAAATCCACCAAAGCCTCTACGAGATCAGCCAACTGGAGCAAAGGATGCAAGCCCAGCGCGACAAGTTGATGGAAGAGGTTGGTCTCCGTGGTTTGATGGAGGAGGACGGCGACTCTTGGAATACTGGCAGGTGGAGCTGATCGCCGCTCAGAAGGGCCAATCGGCTCTCTCTGGAAAAGACTGAAGGCCCTCCGCTCGCGGGTCCAGGAGAGAACGGGCACTACGAGGACACTCCTGTCGGTTCGGCTGGTGTCCACAATCCTCACAAGCACTACGAGGACACTCCTGTCGAGACGACCGGTGTCCCTCTTCCTTCGGCCCGCCGAGAACGTCCTCTGACTCCCTTGTACAGGGAGGCTACGAGGCCATGTTCTTTGAGCTCGAGGAGTTCCAGAAATTTGAGAAGGACACGACCAAACTCGACTCCAAGGTCATCTGGGCTTCTCCTCCTATGAGGGCACATATGCAACGCACTTTTCATCGGGAGATGGCTTCTCCTGGTCAGGTGCGGAACCATGAGCGGGCACTCCGACGGGAACGGAATGGGCTCATGAAACTTTGTGGATCTTTGTGGATGCATTGCTCGTGGACTGCAACGAGGAGGAGATTTCGTGATTGAGATGCCGGCAAAGCTGCGGGCTTGCTGTTCGGAGATTTCCTACCTTAAGGATGCCGCCTCCGAACAGGGCATGACCGTGTATGACTTCAAGATCCATGGGTGCGCCTTTGGCATGAGATGCGGTGGTCTTCCTGTGATGAAAGAGTGGCGCGTCATGACAACCTCCGAGGCTGTGAAGATCGGCCTTGAACGACGATGTCCGGGACACCCTGAACATGTGGAGGACCACGGCGGCTGCGCACAGTGCAGTGACCCTCGATGGTTTCCGAAGGCAATGGAAAAGCGAGTGGTGGACGACTCACAGTCCAAGCATGGTGTGCGCACTTTGGCCGCCGACGTGGGGACCGAGCTTCTTCAACAAGAGTGGTTTTAGCGAAAACATGAAACCTCGACTTCTCAAGAGGTGTTTGCCCTCGCACGACAGAAGATTCCGCTGGAACCACCCACTGGCAAGAAGCTCGAGGAGATCAAGCAGATGGTGCTTCGCTTGCACCGTTCCTCCGGACATTCTTCCTTTGTCCGGATTGCAAAGTTGCTGGAGCGCCGTGGTGCTCCAAGTTGGGCAATTGAGCTGACCAAGTCGATGGAATGCCCGGCCTGTGTGGAAGCGCGACGTCCTCTACCACATCCACCCTCTTCGACCCAAGGGGCCACCTTTGCTCTGGGAGATCTGTGGCACAGACGTCTTTGAGTATGCCTTCAAGACGGAGACCGGACAGGTCAAGAAGTTGAAAGGGTGCATTTGGGTCGACCGGGCCTCCCGATACTGTGTGGTCAGCGGCCTGAAGATTTACGAGGATGCCTGGGAGCCAACCACGGCTGATATCACGAGGGTGTTTCTTCGTGACTGGATGATGACGAGTCCAGCGCCTCGGTGGTTGATAGCTGACTCCGCCCTCTACTACACTTCTGAGGAGATGCGTGACTTTTGTGGTCGGAGCGGCATCGGCCTCTTGATCTCTCCTCCTGAGGCCCACTGGCTAATGAGCCACGAGGAACAGCTGATTGGACGCTTGAAAGCAACCGTCGACCGCATGATCAAGGAGGACCCCGACTTGTCTGTCATCTCAATGTTTCATTACGCGTGCCACGCCTGCAACAGCACGATCCAGCATCAGTCCGGATACTCACCTTTTCAGTGGGTTCGTGGGGCTGTTCCTTCAGACATGGTTCCGGAGGGCGCAAACCCCAAGAAGGCCTTTGAGGAAACCCTCAAGTTCCGGGAGCAAGCCGCCATTGCATATCGTCGGGCACAGGCGGCGGACCAGATGTCCAAACTGGGGAACACTACCAGTCGTCCACCACAGGTGTTCGAACCAGGGACGCTCGCCATGATATGGCGAGAAAGACGTGCCAACGGGCGCGGTGGATGGCAGGGCCTAGTTCGTATCCTGCTACGGGAGAACTCAACATACTGGGTTGCCTCCGGGGCCGCCCTCATCAGGGCAAAGAGCAATCAGCTTCGCGAGTGGAGGAAACTGCGGCCATCACGAACGGGGCGGCTGTCTGCCGCATGCCAGTGACCCTGGAGACCTTGATGCGTGGGTTTGGTTCGTGTACACTCCCAGCCACGCCTGGCAATGCTGGTCCCAAGCAAGGTGAAGAACATTCCAGTGAAGGAGGAGGACTTGCATGGCGAGCGACACACTGTTGTTCGTAGCGGGGGAAATGAACAAGTGATCAAGGACAGCTCTCCGTACACATGAGAATCCAGCTCGATGCCTGCTGGATCGTTGGACTGGTGAGACTCGTTTTCGCTTGGCTGCCAGTCACCCCGCCGCCACTCTGCAACATCGCTCTGGCCAGGATGAAGCTTCGGTTGAATCTCGAGATCCTCCGGAATCCTCTATAGTACAAAGACGTCCTAAAGAACGGAAACGTGATGAACTACCTTCGAGGCCTACGGCAACAGCTAGCGCATCAGGCGACAAGGCTCAGAATGAAGCCTCTGTTGAACATCGAGATCCTCCGGAATCCTCTCGTGGTCCTTTTGATAATGAAGTTGACATACCTGGTCGTCTGGTTCCTGGCACCCCTACACCGGGTACTCCAGTTCCAGGTACCCCGAGAGGTTAAGCCGCATCTCGCAGTGGTGCTGTACCAGATCCTCGTTGTTCTGTCCCGGGATGCAAACTCCCAGGTCGTTATCGATTACCTCATGTGGATGCTGGTGGCAGCAAGTTCATGTACGACAAGCGCACCGAGGTGATGATCCCCGTGGAAGCTTCTGATGCAGAGACTTCGGTTGTGGCTGACAGCACCGATAGCGAGATGGTTCCCGATGTTCCAACCCGTTCGCCTGAGGGACAAGGACGTAAGGACCGCAAGCGGAAGGAGCCAGCTGCTCCAGATGACATGACGGGGTACATGTTCGAGATCGACATGGCCGACAAGGACTGGCAACAGCTTGCTGGGAAACCTCGACGAGGCCCAGTCCAAAGAGATTTCCAACGTGATCCGGAATGCTGCGGTGAGAAGCCTTCTCACGCACGAGAAGCAGATGTTGGACTGGTCGCGGGTTATGAAAATGAGGTGGGTGCTCACGGTGAAGTCCGACGGGCGAGCTAAAGCTCGACTTGTAGTTCTCGGCTTCCAATCTCCCAATTTGGTGGAAAGCCAGGCCTCTTCGCCGACACTTTCGAAACTTGGCCGCATGCTGCTGTTGACGGTCGTTGCGAAGAACCGGTGGGTCCTTGAATCCGCCGATGTGGCTTCCGCTTTCTTGCAGGCTATGCAAGACCTCGAGGATGAGAACCTCTTCATTCAAGCACCTGCTGAATTGGGGGCTGCCTTCGGAGGCTCAGGCGCGGATGCCTTCACCGTCCTCAAGCTCAAGCGAGCGTTTGACGGGTTGTGTCATGCTCCACGGGCATGGTTCGAGACTGTGGCCGAGACTCTTCGTAAGTCAGGATGGAGACAGCTTGCCTTCGACAAGTGCATGTTTGTGCTGTTGGACAAGGAAAACCGTTTGGTGGGCATCGCTGGATGCCATGTGGACGATTTCATTCTTGGTGGAGATCGTCAGAGTGAGATCTTCATGGCTGCCAAGATTGCTTTGCAGCAAGCTTTCGAATGGGGCTAATGGGAAGAATCTGCCTTTGAGTTTGCTGGGTGCAACATTGTCCAGAAGCCCGACGGCACCATCTTCATGGATCAGAAGGTCTACACTGATCGCTGGATGGAGGAAATTCCGATTTCTCCACAGCGAGCCTCTCGACCAAAGGAGAAGGCAACGGCCCAGGAGATCAGCGAGATCCGTGGCGCTCTGGGCACCCTTTCCTGGAGGGCCAACCAAGTGCAAAACGTGAGCATGAGAAGCACATCCGCGAAGTGGAAGCATATTTTGTGCATCAGGTTCAAGCTTTTGCATATGAAAACCTTTTCCCGTGGGCTGCTGAGCAAGACCTTGTAGATCCAGATGCGGCACTTTATGAAAGACTCAGGACTGTTACTGGTGCGAGTTCGGGCTTTTACATGGGACATAGCATGTTTGTCAGGTGAGCCTTTCACAAGTGATCGCCGCAGGGTCTGGGATTCTCTCGAGAGAGAGCCAAGCCGGCTGCAGGTAGAAAAGAAGGGCTCTGCGTGCCCTTGTGTTTGCCAGTGGCGTGTGTGTGTGTGCCACTTTCACCTAGGAACAGGTTGCTTATTTCTGAAAAGGTTTAGGGGTGGTAGAAAAATAGGTATATTTTATAGGGATGCCAATCAAAAAAAAACTTTTTTCAATCAAAAAAAATACTTTTTTCAATCAAAAAAAACTTTTTTTCAATCAAAAAAAACTTTCCCTTATTAAAGGAAGCACGACAGGAAGGAAGGAAGGAAGGAGGGAAGGCAGGAAGGAAGGAAGGAAGCAAGGAAGGCGGGGAGAAAGGGCGAGGAAGGAAGGAAGGAAGGAAGAAAGCAAGGAAGGCAGGAAGCAAGGAAGGAAGCAAGGAAGGCAGGCAGGCAGACAGGAAGGAAGGCAGGAAGGAAGGTACAGCAACAACAACAACAACAACAACTACTACTACTACTACTACTACTACGGCTGATAGACAAAATCCTGCATTACCCTAAGGACCCTACACTATGGGAATTATGGTATATTCCTTATTATGGGTAATGCAGGATTTTGTCCATCCACCGTAGTACTACTACTACGACGGCTACTACTACGACGACGACTACTACTACTACTACTACTACTACTACTACTACTCCTACTACTACTACTACTACTACTACTACTACTACTACTACTACTACTATACTACTACTACTACTACTACTACTGCTACTACTACTACTACTGCTACTACTACTACTACTACTACTACTACTACTATACTATACTACTACTACTACTACTACTACTACTACTACTACTACTACTACTACTACTACTATTATTACTATTACTATTACTATTACTATTACTATTACTATTACTATTACTATTATTACTATTACTATTACTATTACTATTACTATTACTATTACTATTACTATTACTATTACTATTACTATTACTATTACTATTACTATTACTATTACTATTACTATTACTATTACTATTACTATTACTATTACTACTACCACTACTGCTGCTACTACTACTACTACTGCTACTACTACTACTACTACTACACATGGAGAAAGTTTTTTTTTGATTGGAAAATAGTTTTTTTTGATTGGTGAAAATTTTTTTTTGATTTTCGCTGAAAGTTTTTTTTTGATTGAAAAAAAGTTTTTTTTGATGGCTTTCCCCATATTTGGGATGCCAATCAAAAAAAAACTTTTTTCAATCAAAAAAAAACTTTTTTTCAATCAAAAAAAAACTTTTTTCCAATCAAAAAAAACTTTCCCTTATTAAAGGAAGCACGACAGGAAGGAAGGAAGGAAGGAAGGAGGGAAGGCAGGAAGGAAGGAAGGAAGCAAGGAAGGCGGGGAGAAAGGGCGAGGAAGGAAGGAAGGAAGGAAGAAAGCAAGGAAGGCAGGAAGCAAGGAAGGAAGCAAGGCAGCAAGGAAGGAAGGCAGGCAGGCAGACAGGAAGGAAGGCAGGAAGGAAGGTACAACAACAACAACAACAACAACTACTACTACTACTACTACTACGGCTGATAGACAAAATCCTGCATTACCCTAAGGACCCTACACTATGGGAATTATGGTATATTCCTTATTATGGGTAATGCAGGATTTTGTCCATCCACCGTAGTACTACTACTACGACGGCTACTACTACGACGACGACTACTACTACTACTCCTCCTCCTACTACTACTAATACTATTAGTACTAGTACTACTCCTACTACTACTACTACTATTACTGCTACTGCTACTACTACTACTGCTACTACTACTACTACTATTACTACTACTGCTACTACTACTACTACTACTACTACTACTACTACTACTACTACTACTACTACTACTACTACTACTACTACTACTACTACTACTACTACTACTACTACTACTACTACTACTACTACTACTACTACTAGTACTACTACTACTACTACTCGTACTACTACTACTGCTACTGCTACTGCTACTGCTACTACTATTACTATTACTATTACTATTACTATTACTATTACTATTACAATTACAATTACTATTACTATTACTATTACTATTACTATTACTATTACTATTACTATTACTATTACTATTACTATTACTATTACTATTACTATTACTATTACTATTACTATTACTATTACTATTACTATTACTATTACTATTACTACTACTACTACTACTACTGCTGCTACTACTACTACTACTGCTACTACTACTACTACTACTACACATGGAGAAAGTTTTTTTTGATTGGAAAATAGTTTTTTTTGATTGGTGAAAAAGTTTTTTTTTGATTTTCGCTGAAAGTTTTTTTTGATTGAAAAAAAGTTTTTTTTGATGGCTTTCCCCATAATTTGGGATGCCAATCAAAAAAAAACTTTTTTTCAATCACAAAAAAAAATTTTTCAATCAAAAAAAAACTTTTTTCCAATCAAAAAAAAACTTTCCCTTATTAAAGGAAGCATATGTACAGATAGAGTATCTGTATATAGATACACACAAATACATATAGCTGTTTATCAAAATAGAACCTATATATATATATATACACACACACACATAAAGATAGACAGATAGAACATATATCTATATGTATATGTATATATATATATACACATATAAAAGATATGTATGTATGTATGTATGTATGTATATATTTATGTATGTATTTATGTATGTATGTATATAGAAAGACGCTCTTTGGAAGGTATGTCGGAATACAGGCCCAGGTTTTCCTTTGTGTATGTATGCATGCATGCATATATGTATGTATGTATATGTGCACACATATATTTACACATATAGATGGCACAACCTCGTGTATACGCATCGATTCGTATATGCTTTTACATGTATGTTTGCATGCGTGTCTGTACATGTATACATATACGTCTATATGTATATACGTATATATGGGTTTATTTGGGCTCTGTCCGCTCTGGTGAAATTTGGCATCCTGCTGAACTGCGATGCAGAAGCAGAGCCCGCGCGCACAAGAGGCTGAACGAGTACAGTGACAACGAGTTGCTGGAAACGCCGGTGCCTGAGGGAACCCTTGTGGCTGCAGACCAAGCACCGGCACTTGAAATTCTGCATGCCGAACACGGTTAAAGGCCGTCGTTGGAAATGAACACTATGATATAATATGATATATATATATATACACAAACATATAATAAGAATGTATCGAACATTTTTTTGTTTCTGTTTACACTGATGGTGCGTGTACCTGGTGCAGACGGGCGACTGTGTTGCCATGTCGTTCTTACGCTCAGGATTCAAGTGGCGAAGTCTTCTGATGCTGCTCTGCTTGGAGATTCCGCGAAGGTTGGGGCAATGAAGTACAAGGCCACGCAGCAAGCAACCGCTTCCTGTCGGGGTCGTCGTCCCAAATCATCCTTCTCCTCAGAGTCCAATGCGTATCGTAAAGCTTCCAGCTCCAGAAATAAGTGTAGCAAATCCGGAGCATCTACCCGCAGTGTGGGATTTCGATTGAACCCTATCATGCGCTAGAGCTGCATTGTCAGGTGCGAGGTGTTTCTGAATGTCCAAAATCTGCCCGAGGCAAACAGACCAGACCTGGTAGCTAATTGCAATGGCACAGGAAACGCAGATTCATGGCGAGGTGGCTTTCGCGAAGCATCTTCGCTGATGTGGATGGGGTGAGACTTCCTGCGCAAAACGAGATCATGTTTTCCGAAGCCGACCCGAAGCCCCAGCAAATGATGGTAGCCTTAAGTCCACGAGCCCCCCGAGGCATGTCGAGCGGCTTGTGGCGCACCCGAAGTTCCGGGGCAAGCCCGAGGAGCTCCAAGTCCTTGGGTAGAATCGGGGGTGGCGGCGGTGGCGGTGTGAGGCATCGCCGGGCTCAGGAAAAGACAAAGAGCATAGCGAGTACGAGAGGCGGCACGCAGGATTCCTGTGTAGCCGGAGGCCCCGAAAGATTGTCATGCGATGAGATGGTGGATAAGGTCCAGAACGCTACGCGACCCAATAGCTGCTCCGGCGAGTCCGCTTCCATAAGCGTCAGAGTTTCAGAACGCCTCAGCCTGCTTCGAGGAGCCTCGCATCAAAGCAGTGGCCACGAAGTTCGGATGGAAGTTCTCGTGGATTGACGAGGACAGGCGTCCTGGCCACACCTGACCGATGTCAAAATAGGTTTTCTTCAGCGGCTACACACCTGATTTTCGCCTGGCTACCTCCAAAGTCTAGGCGGCCCAAAGTGCACCTGTTTGTCGAACTCTGCACCCCATGGATCAATATTGGACAGAGACCCGTCCTCGGCCGCTTTTTGTTGGTTCCCATTCCCAAGTCTCCGAAACCAGAAAACCGGTTTGTCGCAGCGCTTCTGTTGTGATGTGGCTGATAATGTACACCGGGTATTCCTGATTCCTGAGCCTGATAGCTTCAAGCCCAACCCTATCCCGAAGTTCTACACCACCCGCATCTACAGAAAGAGGCTGCGGTCGCAAGCCCATGGTACCATGCTGCACTGACAGGCATCCACACTGATGCGCCGAAAACCTTGCACTTGCACATACAGGATACCCAAACGGAACCTAAAGTCCTAGAACATACTGTCAACAGTGCTCGAACAGTGACAGTGAGCTCTCGATCAACCTCAACACTGAAAATGCAATAATGCTGCCATGCGTTTCCTCGGAGTTGGGAATTTTCGGGGCTAAAGCTTCGCCAGGTGATATTTTCAACCTGTGTAGCCTCCTTCCTCCGATTGCCCCTTGGGAAGATGATCCCCTGGAGGACAACCCGGAGTTGCATATACTGGCTTTTGCGGCCACCAACGTACTCCGAGCCTCATGAGTCTCCGAGCATAAAGAAGGGCACCCTAATGAACGAAAGTTGTGAGGATGCCCGAGCAGTACATACATTGCAGATGCATGACAACCGCAGCCACTTGTAGTAGTGAGCTGCCCTCCTGAGATCGTACTTCGCAAGCCATGGATCTTCCAACACTGTGGTATGCCTTCATAACAGTTCTGCTGCTCTGGGGTCTACACAGACTTTGGGATTTTTCTCTTCAGCAGGTTCTGCATGTGCGAAGCTTGGCACAACGAGTCCTCAACATAATTCAGCTTCTGGAAGCCTCTGCAGTACAACAAAATAGCACAAATGCAGGGGTTATTGTGGAGGGAACCTTGTTTTCTGAAAGTTTGTGCGACAACATTCTGAAGCTGGTGCGAATGAACGATCGCAAACTTGGTGAAACCCTTGCTCAACAACTTCGACAAAGAGAAGATGTGGAGGCCCTTATCCGACAATTTGGAGATGAATTCAAGACCATCGTGCATGACCTGGGATATCGTATCTCTCAAGTTGAGGCGTCCATGGACAACTTCGTTGAACAGCTGGAAGCACATGATGAAAATTTCAAGAGAATTCGCAGAGCATGTGAAGATCAAACAATGCATGCAAAAGCTTTGGTAATTAATAATGAGACGAACTTTAAGCAAGTCAAGATGTCCTTTTCACACCTGAGATCAGTGCTGGAAACCGATGTGGTCCCAACGCTCAATGGTCTCCAGGCCCTGTCGAATGCCAGCAGATGACTCTGACCCATCTTGCAGAGCACGAGCAAAAAGTCGCAGACGATCGTTGGCAACAAACTTGTTGAATCTTTTGAAACTAGGCTCGTCTCTCGCCTACACTGGCTCCAGCATGTTTAACACACACCTGCAGTCAGTGCTGTGCTTTGCTAGGAAAATTTGCACTAGGATGCAGGCCTTCCCCTTTGCACTGTCGGGTCCCTCGGTTGCCACTCCTATGATCATTGAGGATGAAACGCAACAAACTGAAGGGTATTCGGTTGATGATATGGGGTTCACTGTTGAAAACACTGGGTACTCTCCTGATCTTCCCTGGGGGTCTATGAAAACACTCCCCCTGGACCCACCCTTTGATCTGAGCGCGGACCCACTTCTCAAACCGATTGAGTTTCGTGCCCTACTCCTCCTTCGTCACCCCAAACCTCCTACCCCTAGGGATGTCTTCAACCTTTTCAACATGATCCCCAACACATACCTTAGAAGAGGGGCGAAGGATGGTACGCGATATTTTGGCACTGGGTCCAACCCTCGTAACTCCAAGTGCTTGTTCAGTTTTTCGATTGAGATGCCCTTCACGACTCTCGTGATCACTAAGATGATTGCCTATGTAGCACCGAGCTTCAGATTCACTTGTTGCATTCTTTTTAGGGGGTGCAAGTCGAGACCTCACCGTGATGCCAATAATGGGGGTAACCAATCTCTTGTGATGCAAATTTCTCCACCCCTACCAGGAGCAGCTCTCTGGGTACAAGACATTTGTGGTGACGTCATCATGGAGCACTTAGGAACCCGAGTCAAAGGACGTGTTGTATCCATTGACACACCTTACCTGCTCAATGCCCGCAAATGTCTTCATGCTGGGTATGTTCCTCCCCATGTCGACCCCCAGCAACGAGTTGTACTAGTGGCCTTCAATACCATCAACCTAGGAACCCTCAGCCCTGAAGTCATCGACCAACTGCTTGACCTTGGCTTCCGAATCAACTCGAAAACTGACCTCAAAGAAGCCCTAGAAGAAGCCCCCAGGTTTAAGCAGCTCACTCTGCAGGAATTCCTGCAGCTTCCGCCCTCTCGAAAGGACTGCCACGACGTCATCGAGGTCATGGACAGTCAGGACGAGTAGTAACCAGGCGTAGTAACCATCCCCAAATCTCAAAACCGTTGATGTGTGCAAAACACTGACGTGTCGATGATGGATGCTGCTGCCTGCCTGCTGGGGTCCCCTAGCCTTACCGTATTTTTATTTGAGCCTTACTTTAGCATCCTTTACTAAAGCATGACCCTGGACATACTGAGCCTGTGTTTCACCTTCTTTCTTTGAGCCATGACCTTTGGCCTCAGCCGACGCCTGCCTGCATGGATGGATGATGGAGTTGGAATTCAAGAATTCATCGAAAGCATGGAGGATTCTGCAAACCCGAGATTGTTTGCTCAGAATATTCTGAGCTTTCTGGATGTGCTCCGGACAACTCCCGGGCTAGAATACATCGGCCAACTGCCGCTGGTTGCCTCTTATTGGAGGCGCTTGGAGCAAAGGTGCGATGAGATGCTACAGCTTCAATTCAGGACTGCAAGAAAACCGCCAGCTGAGTTTTATGCAGAGCTTTTGGACATGTACACACGTATTCGTACCCGCACATGGTACCTTTATGTGGACTCAGCCTTGGCGCCGACATCGCGGTACCACCAGATTCGGAGCTGAAGACCCCTAGGCCCTTGACTTCCTGCAGGCGGCAAAATGGTATGTCGACCTGAATTGGCTTTTTTCTGCCTGCAAGCCTTGCATCTGAAATGGCAATCTCTCTGCCTGCAAGCTGTGCACCTGACTTACTGTCGTGAAGACAATGCCTGTATACCAACAGGGCTGGACCTGGAATAATTAGGTGCAAACTGTGCTCGCGTCATGGATGGAACTGATATTGGTGGAGGTGCATGCCTGAATTCCTGCTTGATATACTGCTTGCTTATAGAGACGACCCATGTGCGTGCATGACGAGTGCATGATGGTATTGGAATCAAGGGGACAGCCAACTTCGACTGTGGCAGGGTAGTATGCATGCTCTTTACAGTCTCCAGGCTGCTGACATAACTTCGTGGCTCCGCCTGGCGAAAGTTTGCAAGAGCCTCCAAGCTGTGTCTGAAACGGGAATACGAATGCATGCTGAGGAATTTATGAGGCCACTGTCTGCATGGTTTTGCATATTTTCTGGCGAATTGGAGTACCTGCGTGTTTCATTGAACACCGGCGTGAGCCTGTGTGTTTGCAAGATGAATGTGGATCCCCGTGGTCTGCATGAAACCTCGCGTGTATACCTCCACCCAATGTCCGGCTTGTATCTGGAGAGAGCACTGGCGAATGCATGCCATGCAAGTTGCAAGGATTCGAGTCTTATGGCAACGAGCTTCTCTGCATGCTGCAATGCCCTGCATGGTGCATGTACTGCATGACTGCAATTGAGCTGGGATCTACGCTGACATTTGCCCGGTGAGGTGCGTATAGGTAACACCAGTCTTCTGAGTTTCACAGGTCCCTCAAAGTGCCCAACTAGGTCGTGGGGTTTACTTGGTTTAGTGTTTGCGCTTTGAGGGGCTGCTGTCAGTTGTGACCGTGACCTATGCTTGTACACTTGCTGGTTGGCTTTTCCTAGGTTGTGTCTGACAGCACATCTGAGTATGTGAAACCGACTACTCAGAACCGACCTATAGTTTCGTCGAACCTACTTCTGCAGACCTTGCCAGGCTAGTCCGAGTGTGAGTGTCAAAAAAATAATGCTGCCATTCTGCACGGAAGGCACATGCACCTACGTGTGTCACTCTAGTTTCTCACTTATCTATCTGTTTATCTCTCTGTCTTTCTACCTAGTTCCCTGCGATCTATCATCTGTCTACCGATCTATCCATCTGTCTATCAGTCTATACTTCCATCCATCTATCAATTTCTATATATATATATATATATCTGTCAACCTGTCCATCCATCTAGCTGTTTATCTGTTTATCTATCTGTCTGTCTATCTATCCATCTATCCATCTATCCATCTCCTTATCGGTTTACCTCTATCTATGGTCTTACATTTGTGTACGTATCTGTCTATCCACCTATTTACCTCTCCACCTGTCTGTCTGCGGGTGGGAAAAGTCTGTCTACCTAACTACCTGCCTACAAACATATCTATCTATCTATCTATCTGTCTATCTGTCTATCTCTGTCTGTCTGTCTTCTGTCTGTCTGTCTGTCTGTCTGTCTGTCTACAGACGCATGTAGAGCTGCTGTGTAGCTATGGCACGACACTTCTTTCACCTACGCGCCATGTACAATATGCAGATCTCTGTATGTATCTTTTTTTTTTTTTTTTCCCGTAGTCTCTGTTTCTATATTATATACAAGTCAAACAATGCCTTTGAACACATGCGTTTAGGTATCTGTTGTGTTATGCCTGTTATGCTGTGTAATGTTATGCATGTACAGGCATGCATACAGGGATGGACAGTCGCCTCGAGTCTTGTGGCTTCGTTGCCTGACCACTATGCGTAAAGCTTCATGTGCGCACGTTGCGTGTATATCAAATCAGCATAGCCAGGAGCGACGCCGCATGGAGCGAGAGGAGCGAGCGAAGCTGGGCTCGAAGGCTTGGGAAGAGCGGCTCCAGGCGACCTGGTGGAAGGTCTGGGTGTGGTGTGGCCTTGTCTGACGTGAAGACGCCAACAAGAGGGCTAGACATGCTCGATCATGCAAAACATCGGTGGGAAAGCCTGGCGGTTCACATGTCGTGTTGGCTCTGTTCTTGACCTCGACCCGCTCGCGTAGTTGCCAACGGTACCGCAAGTAGAAGCTGTGTAGTTCCTGCCGGAGTGCACCCGGAGCTCTGCCATGCTCGTCATGAAGCAGTGAGACACGAGCGCTTAGTTTGCTGATCCGGATTCGCCGAATACGTCTGAGGCGCTCATGGAAAAGGGAGTTCCCGATGTCAAGGGCGTTCCTGCAGGCTTTTGTAAGAAGGCCGGCACACGTCTTTGAAGTCGGCTTTAGTATCCTTTGTATCACGTCGTGGGGGCCGAATTCGCGGCAGGGTTGTGGGCGCAAAGTGGCACCTGGGAAGACGCGCAGTGGGAAGCCCTACGACACGTGCTGCCGGGGCTGTACACTGGGCTTCGGCCATGACCTCATCTGCGGCCTCGGCCTCGGGATCTGATGATTGTAGTATTAGAGTCTTAGACCTGTCGAAGTAGAGGGATAACAGCAGTGGCTCCAAAGGGTGAAACCCAAGCCACGGCTGTGGTTGCTTGCTTCTTTGTCTTCGCTTGGGCTGGGCGTTCTAGAGATTGAGGTAATATCGACCCGAAGCTCTTGGGCGAAGGCCTGTGCAAGTCAGAGGCTCAGATGCATGCAGCCTCAGCTGGACATGTATTCGACCGTCAATGCTCTCACAGTACCTGCTTGTGTTCAAACCGCAGGTACGGCTGCGGACGTAAAGTGAACCCTGGCCGGCATGCATCTGGGCGGCCCTACGACACCTGCTGTGCCATGTGTGCCAGCGGTAGCCATGACCCTCTTTGCGGCAAGCAGGACTGATCGCTTTGGGTACTTGTAGCAATGCAAAACCACAGCGAGCCCAACATCGGCCTAACCGATGTGCCTGCGGCTAGACTTGTGTGGTGGAGAAAAACCAAAGTCTACCCGGACAGCCGTCATATTGAAACTGTCTGGAAGCGTAGAGATAAACTGTTGACTCCGCCTGTGCCATCTGTAGTCTCCCATTTCGTTGTTTAGTTGTTTACCTCAGATCAATGTTTAATCGCAGCCAGGACAACATTCATCCGGTCGAGCCCGGTTACTGCAGAATGAGGCTTGGGTGTGTCTGCTGTTGTCGCCATGCTGGTGCTAATAGTGATGCCGCCGGGTCAACTGACGCTTCATAATACACGAATTATACACGAGTTGCAAGTGGATTGCATATGACTAGCCAGTGGAGACCATCCTCGGTCGGCAGTCATATTGCAAGCGCGGCGTGCGGGGGGTTTAGAATATCGTGTTGATTCTGCAGCGCAGGGTTTAGGTGCGGCAGTGCTTGTGGCATCTGGTCTCGTGTGAAAACCCTCATTTCATGCATGGCGATTCAAGAACGAGGTGTGGAAGGAAGGTGGCTGAAGCAAAGGATGGTCGGAAGTTCGACACATGCCCACGCCTCAGCTACTGAGGATGACGGGCTCTGCGTGCTCGTCTGTGCAATGGCCTCAGGTTGCAGAGGCTGCGCAACAGGACAGCCGCACACAGAAGCCTGTGTGGGGTGAGACAGGAAAGCGCCACTTCCTCTGTGAAACAGAGAGAGGTTGGCGCAACCTGAAGCTGCTTTCTGGAAGCTGTCAGTATCGGCGGCATGGAGCAGTGCCTTTAATGATAGGCCAAACGGCCAAGCGTCCCCTCGTGACAAAAGCGTTGGGATTTCCATCGTGATTGGAGTGGCCACCTTCTCAGACTCATGAACTGATGCAGATATAAATTCTGAGTGCAGGCAGTGCTTGAAATCGGTCCTTTGTTGCCATGCCCACGGCTTCGTGAGCGGCTCAGGCACGCAGCACGTGAGACCGGTACAGGGGGAGTCCCGAGGTTCACCGCGACCTGAACGCCAAAAACTTTATGATCACAGGTGAGGACAGGACTGCCTCGGCTTGGTGCGAATGGCTTCTGCTGCAGTCGGTGGGTCCATTCTTGTGTGCTGTCGCTGCGTCCAACATCCTCTCTCCGAGTATCCGGTCCAGGACGGTGAAGCTGATTGACTTTGGCCTTGCGACCCGATTCCACGGCTACCTGCCCAAGGATGTCTATGCCTGCTGCAGCATCCAAGCTCCTTCGGTGTTTCTGCCGGATTGCAACGAGGGGTCACGGTCAGGCTGCTGTCGCGCACTAAAGCGACATCCTTGCTCCAGTCTCCTGCTTCACAGGAGCAGTTCATCGAAATCGTCGGCTCAGAGCTTACTTGAAGTTCATGGTCTAGATCGGGTCTTCTCATACGTGCCCTAGAATCCCTAGAAGATGTTCAGCAAGAGCCCCACAAAAGTTCAAAACTGTCCCAAAGTGCGGACTTTCAGATTTCAGAGTTATAGCGCCATTCTAGTTAACGACCGGACCCGCACTCACCACAGGAGTTCGGCTTCGTCCAAGCAAAGAGCTCGGCACTGAAGGCACATCTCATTACATGGCGCCTGAGATGATCCTGGATGGGAAGTACAGCGCGGCGCCTACTAGCGGCTGAGCTTGGTGTTCTCTCTCGCAGTGCGAGTCGTTACAGTCTGGAATCATCCAGGTCCAGCCGTGGACATCTGGTCACTAGGCGTGCTGCCGAGTTGCCCATGGCATAGCTTTCACTCGCTGGTTCTCGTGGTCAGGCGTCCTGCTCTATGTGTGCTTGACTGGGCAGCCCGGCTGCAAAGCCTGATCTCCTGATTCTCTCTTCCTGCAGAAGTGCCGCTCGCTAGGCTCATGCTGCTACCGAAGGATGACGAGCGCAAGAAACACCTCTTAGGCAAAAAGGCCAGGCGGGCCAACTACGAACAGCCCTGGCAGTCACACTAAATAATTGCTATGCAGGGCTACATCGACCGAAAGCTGGACAAATGCTCTCAGCTTCAGAAGCGTTCCTGTTCTGAACAGGCCACCATCGACTTCACATCTGAATGCAGTGCAGCTTGCAGTCCCTGCGCGATGGGTGTGGAACAGCGGCAGAGCCACTGCAGAGTAGATGCGTGAGGCGATCACGTTGTTTGGGGTTCGCCGTGGGTCCTGAGAGCACCACAGAATAAACAAGAGCCGATGAAAAAGGAAACTGGCACAGTGCAGCCGCTGCAGTCCAAGAGTGCTTTGGCTAGGCGAGGAGCCTCTTACAGAGTATGCCGGGGGCCTAGGAGCTGTGCGGAAGGTCGTGGCCAAGTTGCAGTTCTGGGCACTTGATGTCTTAGTCGAAACGCACTGATACACAGGTTTCGTCTGGGTGCGACGTTCGCAGATCCTACTTGTAGCCAGAAGGAAAGTAGCAGAACCGCGGTCGACCAAACTGGTTGATTGCCGGGGCCTAGGTTAAAATCCCTCTCCAATCCCTCTCCGGATCATCAGCCGAGGGCCTTCGTATTCCGGTCCTTCGCCAGAACTCTGTTCCTGAAGAGCCTTCCTCGTGGCCCAAAGAGAAACATGGCTTGGAGTCGAACGCACCGTGCTGCTTTGAAGGCTGCGGTATGAGCCGTCGCAAAGAATCACGGCCTCCGAAGCATTGTTCGGACCTCGGACCCTCATCTCTGCTTAAGCTTAACCTCCCTCCAGGGCGGCCCTGGTAATCCGACCCCGAAATCTCACTGCCAAAGCCGATGTGGTTCACAGTGGTCTCTCTACACCTGTGGGCTCGAAGCAAACCGAGCTGGGGCCATGTAGGGCTGCGAGCCTTCCATCCGAGGTCTCATCCGTTCATTCTCAGCTGCTTGCCTTGAGCCAGACGTGGGGGGAATTGTATGGTGTTGCCCGGTTGGGCAGACATCGGAATCTGGCTTGTTGGATGTCGGGTTAGCCTTCCTCGTCACCCGTTGTGGCATCGTTGTGGGTTTTAGACGCACGACCCAGAGCCTCAGCTCCTGGCATCAGCCTTTGGCCCAGAATACTGCCACTTCTACCTGGGTGTTGAAGCAAAGACGGAGCTGCAACCCGACATCGTCGACCGGTTGAGGCAGGGCCCGAAGCCGATGCTTGGACAAGCACACCACCGTGCCCAGCCCTGCAGGCGCTTCGCGAAGGCTCCCCGACTGAAGAAGGCGCTGCCTGAGCTGAAGTGCCAAGCCGGGAGCGGTCTGTGGTGGTCTAAGCTGAAGTGGCACGGGCAAGATGCGAGTCGCCACCTGTCGGCTCTTCCTCGGCTCAGCGGCCGGGTCTGAAGCACCTCCGGGAACCTGAGCCTGTCAGTTGCAGCTGTTTGGCCAGTATCTGACATCAATGCTGGCTTGAAGTGTCACGGAGCATTGTGAATTCGTAGGTGTCGCTGCTCTTTATGGCGCACCTGGTCGAGCACGATGAGAAGCTCCTGGCAGGGCTCCACTTGCCGTTCTACTGCGCATTCGTGCTAAAGCCGGAATGCAGGGCTGAAGGTGTACGTCCGGAGTACATGGAACAACACAAACTCGAAGTAATGGGCTTCTAGAGTCTGTGGGCAGCAGGCAGCGCGCCACAACTTCAGAACGCTCGACCAGAATGGGGCTCCAACCTCAGAACTTGCTGCTCCAAGTGAGAGGCACATGGAGCGCAGGCCATGAAAAGTAGCAGAGAATCGGTGGGGAGAGTCGACATCATCCCGTAGAACCTCACGGCTAGCTAGCCCGGTGGGCTCAGCAAACATCAGCTTGGCTTGAACAGGTAAGTACTGACAGCAGAAGTTCCCACCTGTTGATGGGCTTTCCATGACATGCCTTGCCCAGAAACACCCCAAAATCTGGGGCTCGTCTTGGCGAGAGCTTTTGGGCCATCGGATGACGAGGATGGCGAGATCTCCCGCGAAGAGCTGGAGGCTGGCGGGGAAGTGGAGAGCTGTTCAACTCGAGATCGCCAGGCGCAAGAGGCTCCTTGAAGCTTCCGGTGCATGTCACATGGGAGGCTGGGCTTAGAAATGCTGCGATTCAGCTCCCAGCCGACATGGCTGAGATCTTCGACGGGTGCAGCCCGGGCCCCAGAGGCCAAGGCCAGTCGGCCCGTGCTCTTGCGATGCTTTCGGGTTCGATGGGCAGTCTTTTGCGCCGTCAGCTGTGCTGTGCCGGGAGCGGTTTCCCTTCCGAGGCGGACACCGGGAGGGCCAGCGGCGCACTTGGCAGCTTTGTGATTGCTTTCAAGGTGCATCGCCCAGCCCTGGCCCTCTGAGGCTGCACTTCGTGGAGTTCTTGGCCTGCACCATGCACGTATCCCAAGATCCCAGCCCGAAAGCATCTTAGGGCCGTCTTCCTGGATTCGATTCTGATCTCAGGCCTGACAGCCTCATCGACGAACGATTGTGCCACGAGGCTCCAGCCTAGAGCAGCCTCGCAGAGATCAGGGGAAAACCTTCACTTCGCTTCAATTTTCTGGAAGGCCTTCAGCCTCCTCGATCCGGACAGAGGGTCTTATGGGAAATCGAATCTCAGTAGGCGTTTGAGGCGCTTTTTCAGTGGGCTGAGATCCTCGAAGACTCAGCAGGAATCTTGCCACGGGAACTGGTGTTGGGAAGTGCTAGCATGTTCTTCGCCCTCCTGGAGGACGGCAAGGGCAGGCTGACCGCAGAAGATCTGCAAGCTGCCAGGAACTTGATCCGGATCCGTCCACACTGGATGGAGAATCGAGTCTGAAAGCCGAGGTCTGTCCATCCTTTGACATTGAGAGATGTAAGAAGATGGTCCGGCAGGCGCAGTCAGTGCGGGCCCTGATCCCAGCAATCTCTCGAGCAGTTTTTCCCAAAGTCTATCTCATAAGGACGGTTCCGACTCCTTTGATTTCGATGATTTCTACATGTTTCTTTGTGGTGGGATGCTCGGAGCTGTATCTCCTTGGCGGACAAGCTCGTTTGGAGTCGGCCGGCTGAGGACCTAACAGTGACGAGGCCGCGCAACAGCTTGAAGTCGTCGCAGAACGGCAGTCGCCTTGGCCGGCCAATCTAGCGAGATTCCTAACCAGTCTTCCGGCAGCAAAAGACAAGTGCACCGGAGGCCCTGCAAGGCACCGCGGCTTGACACAGGCGGACTGACGTTCAGGAGGCATGACGCTTGAGTTGTTGTCGTCGCATCGCCAGGAGACACATCTTCCTTCATCGGGATTCCGGCATCCAGCTAGCTGAAGCGATTCAGCATGTACAGAGCAAGTTTAACATTGCAGCAAGCATGCGACAGTGTTTATGCCAGCAGGCTTAGGGTTATTCACACATCCTGCTTTCTGATTCTTTCTTCACATCACAAGGAAAGCACATTACATCCCCCATATCAAGCATAATTTCAGGTTTCATTTGTCTGAACCGACGGAGTCAGCCTGCGGGCCTGCCAGGGTGCTAACCAGGAGAAAGTGGCGCGCCTCGGGTCCTAACCCCGAGCGTTGCCTTTGCGTCCGACATGAGCCCTGTTTGAGTTTTGATGTTTTTGGCTCTGAGTTTGCCCCTGTTCTTGCCAGCAGTCGCCGATGGCTTCGATGCTCACGCTGCTGCTTCCCTTTGGCGCTTCGGTTATTTTGATCTCCCCAGGTTCGCTCTGACGTGCTGGCATAGAGCGGCAGCTTCGAGTCCAGGGAGCTGTGGGTGAAAAGTGTATCTAAAACACAGCTTACGTATTCTGAGACCCTGAACTCTGAAGATGTCCATCAGCAGCATGGGGACCCGCTTCACGACAGACTCATTGCTTGGTGATTTCCTGGACTCCCTGACTACCACCATGTGGTTGCGTGCAGGGAGTCCGTGGCCGTGCCCAGTCTAGCGACAGCATTATCGAATTGTACCTTCTGGCAGGCACCCCGGAGTTAGCACAGACATAGGTCCTCCAATTTTGCAAGTCGAGCATTCAACAGTTTCCTTGGCATCTTGCAAGTACCTTGTGGCACGGGTTCTCAGTCTGAGGCCAGATGTGTTGGAGCGGCCGTTTCCAACGACGTTGATTCAGTTCCATCCAGCCACGGGCACAGTGCAGCCACGCAGAAATTTACCGGAACTGCCATCGAATTATCCTGGATTTCTCGTGTGCGGAGGCGACATTCGCCTCAAATGCCTCAACAGCTCCAGCCTTAGGACTGCCGGCATGTTAGATTCGTGGTGAAGACGCACACCGTCTGTCTACCTATAGAATCTATAGAATGCTCTTTTTTATATGTGTACAGAGATGTGCACATTCATCCTGCAGTACTGACCATCCCCCACATGCATGAATACGTACATACATGCACACCGACAAATACATACACAGATACTAATATTGTTTATACACGCACCCATTCGCCGTACAAACTACGGAATAAACCAAACAAGGCAGAAGTCCAGAAGCCGTACGCGACGCTTGCAAATGGTTTCACCATCTGCCAAATGGCATGGGCAAGTTCAGTTTTTGTTTACTATCTTCGGTTTGTATTCGTGAGAAGTGAAAAGCAGCAGAAAATCCACGGTCCACAATTTTCACTGCGTGGGAAATGCGTTTCTATGGCCGTGGTGGCAATGCAAGCTGCCGCCAAGGTGCTGAGCTGAGCTTTCCAAAACTCGTTTTCGGCAAACTTCATCACTTTCGTCTCTGTCCTCCATACATAGGATCCGCATTTGCTTTTTGCCAGCAGGGGGACAAGTAGAGTAAGTTTAGTGGACTTTACCCGTGGGGGAAGTGTTCGAACAAGTCTAGTAGGAGTCGGGAGGCAGGTTTGGAAAGTTTTCGTTTGTCGAAAAAGAGAAGCCGAACCTGCAGCTCCACACACGTCAGCGGGGGATGTGCAGGAAGTTTGGAGAAACTTGTTCAGGCCCTTTTGTCTTCAGATTTGGCCTGCGCACCCAATATTTCCACTACAGTGCCAAATTTTGGAACTCCGCGTTAAAGTCACTAGTCACTAGAAGACCCTGTGGAGCTTGCAGGAGCTCTCGCTTACTAATTGAGCTCTAGTAGGGGGCCCATATGTTGGTTCAACAGCAGTATCGAGGGCAATTGGCAGCGTGACGACTGTCGTGTAGAGTGGATTCAAAGACACGGCTTTATTGCGAAAACATTTGTTGGGCTGTTGCAGTTCTGCACAGTGAGCCATTGCAAAAGCTGCGGTTGCACATGCAGTCGCGTGTTGCGATTTTTGTCACACCCGTATACACCCGTTCAGGGTTGTGTGGGGACTCATGATTCGCGATTGCGTGGCACCCAGCGAGTTCTGCTGCACATGCCGGGCCCGGCCCCAGCAGAGCCAGACACGGATTGATCGTAAACGAAGAAGGACTATGAAGGAGCCGGAAGCACATGACACATGAGAGGCAGCTACGCGGCAGCATGGAAGTCCTTACATTGCCTTACATGTACCACACGCTCCCTGTTCATGCTGTGGGAACGAAGTCGATGACGATTCTTGCTGGACTGGCTGGCCTTGCGTGGGACTCTCCTGCTCACCCTTCTCATCGTTCTGATTCTAATGCTTCGACGTCCGCGTATCCAGCTCAAACGCCGAATTCCAACGTTGCGTGTTGTGCCCGGTTGACATAGCCGCCCCGCTGGCAGCCGCCGAATCCAGTTCCCGTATGTCCCGAGTGCTCGACAGAATGTCAGGGAAGCCCCCGTAAACTAGCTTTTACTATGCCCTTTAAGCACTCGAGCCGAAACGCCTTGAGCCAAAGGGGGTACGGATAGCCGACCGGTGCATTGCAAGACCGACCTCCGGCGCAGCCCAAATCCTCAGGCCCTGCCTGGGTCCGCCTGTCCGACCCAACATTGAAAACTACGTAGCCAAAGGCAGACACAATCGTTGAAAAGTCGCCATGTTCGTATGACATCAACGAGGGGCCAAGAATCAAGCGGTCTTGTGCAAGTCTCAGAAACTGGGCATTGGGCACTGAGAGTAGCAAGGAAAGTTTATCATCATACCTTGTCGCTATGAATCCGTAGTCGGTTTGCATTCTGGCCGAGGATCGAAACCGCTGCCAGAACCCCTTCTCAGACGCGGCCTCAGAACGCATAGTTTCCATCGCTTTATGACACAGGAAGTAGAGGAAGTGGAAGACTTGCAACGCTGACTTGTCTTTGTGTCGCCGATTTTTAAACACCGGAAGGTTTGACACTTGTGTCGCTCACCCTCAATAAGATGTATAGGTACGCGTATATGCATAGGTGTATGTATATGCTTCTGTATATGTATCTGTACCTGCATTGGCATCTGTATATGGACATGTGTTTGTACTTGCAGATGTGTCGTTCAAGAGGGCACGCTGCACACCGTGCTTTCGCCGATTTTGGGCGTGTCTTTCTTTGGCTTCAATCTCTCTCGCGGTTGCTGCCCTTCCGAAAACCACTCACTCTTTGCATTCCTGCCTCATGGGTGGCTGGGTCTCGGCTTTCCTCTACCGCCGGCCCCTCATGTCGGTCTTCTCACATGCCTTTGGTCTGGTCGACAGCCTTTCGCTTGATCCGGCAAACCCCAGGACCATTGGGCTTCCAGGTGACGTTGCTAGTGAGCTTGTTCTGGCTGCGGCCCTTGCTCCTTTGGCGGTGTCGGACCTCGCCGAGAAATGGGATGAGCAGGCTTATGCCACCGACAGCAGCGAGGAGAAGGCGGCAATTGTTGCTACACGTGTCCCTCCTGAGCTCACTTCTCTTCTGTGGCGGGCATCGGACAGAAAGGGCGCTGCAACAAAGCTCCTCTCCAGAGCGCAGGTTGCCATTGCTCGCGCGGACCCCAGCTTCGAAGAAGCCGCCCTCGCTCCTGATCCATTTGAGGACCGTGACGCCAGCTCGGGGCCTGGGTGCCGCCCGGTTGGCTTCCGTTTTCATTTTCTGCAGATTGGCGGCAAGCCCGCCGACTTGAGCAGTATCGTTGGTGCCTGGGGCTTTGAGGTTGGGCCCCTCCTGGACTTGACCTTTTCTCCCCACTACGACCTCGCCGATGTGGCTCCTCAGCCTTCTTGAGCGGGGAATGCTTGACTCCTTGCTCCTTTGCCCTAGTGGCAAGACTTTTTCCGGTGCTGCACAGCCCCCTTTTCGCACTTACGAGAACCTTACGGGAACCCCTCGCATCCGGCCACTCGCGCTGATACCACTCGGGCCCTGCGGTCCCTCTGCCTTTTCAGGGTCGCGACTAGATGCGGTGTTCCCTGCGTCATCCTCCTGCCAAAGAACAGCATGATTGCCAGCCTCCCACCATGGAAGGCAGTGCTGGAAAAAGCGGGAAAAAATTTGACTATCGCCAGAGCCTGCTCCTTTGGGCACCGTTCGTGCGCTGACTTTGTCCTGCTCCGTTCCAGGGTCAGCCTCCATAGGACACGGGCCGCCTTAGGCGACAGGCGAGGCAGGGGCGAAGCCTCTGGCCCTCTCCTGTTTCTTCACCGAGCCTCGTTGAAACCCTAGCCTGTGATTTTCGCGAAGCCATCCTTGCCCGCCTCAACTGGCGCTCGGAAGCTGAGAGCATGCCTTTTGGGCTTGAGAGCCCTTTGGTTAATGACCTTGCCCTGGCCAAGAAATGGACTACCAAGGCCGTTTGGGCATGGAGGCGCGAGGCTCACATCAATTGTCTGGAGACCGGTGCTTATTTCCGGCTGTGTTGCCACAAGGCCCGGGCTGGTACGGCATCGCGCTTTATTTCTCTCATAGACTCGAACGTCGCACGCTGCGCTATCTCAAAAGGCCGCTCGCCCTCGGCTGCCCTTCAGAGGGTTTTGCGCCGCATTGCTGCTACTTCGACGGCCTATGGACTTTACGGGGCCCTGCCCTTTTGCCCTACAAGGCTGATGCCTGCTGACGGCCCCTCGAGAGACTCTGAGCCTCCTGAGCCCTTGCCCGGTCCCGCTCTGTTTGATCATTCTTGGACCTCTGCCATTGCCTCTCTCCCTCGACTCCGAAGGTGGGCTTCGAATTGGGCTCGACTTGTTCTGCGCTGCGTGCCGTGGGCGCCTGCCGACAGGCACTCACGGGATGGGCTTCTTCCTGCCATTTCGTTTCTTCCTCCGCCAATGGACTTCGATGCCACCCTTGGCTATCCTGGTGAGGGCCCCTGCTCCTTTGGCTGGCTGGGGTTGTTCAGGGTGTTCTGGGCTTTGGTTTCCTTAGCTGCCCCCGCGCCCTGCCATGGCACACTTGAGCCCAGGAACCCGGGAGATGTGGCCCGAAAGGCTTTCCGTGGGGACCGGCCCCTTCCTGCTGGCAGACCAGTGGAGAAGATTACGCAGAGGAACCGAGATGTTCTTTGGGCTGTTTTTCTGGACTGGGCGACGCGGGAAGCCATCCGACAGCACTGTTTGAGGATGGCCCCTTCGTCGACATTGATTCCATAAATGCCGTGATGGCGAGATATGGTCGGGCCCTCTACGAGGCGGGGAGGCCCTACAACCATTACGCTGAAACGGTGAACGCTTTGGCTAGTCGGATGCCAAAAATCCGGCGTCTTCTGCAGCCGGCCTGGGACGTAGCTTTTCAGTTGCAGCGTTTGGAACCCCATGTACACCACCAAGCCATGCCATGGCAGATACTGGTTGCTTTAATTGCCTCAGCTCTTTACTGGGGCTGGCCCGAGGTTGCTGGCATCCTAGCTTTGGCTTGGGGTGGGCTCGCTCGCATTGGCGAGGTTCTGAAGGCGGAGCGATGGGAGCTGGTATTACCTTGTGATGTTGGGTTTACAGTGAACTACATCCTCCTCTCGGTCCGGGAGCCAAAAACAAGGAATACAGCTGCTCGTCACCAAGCTCTTCGTGTTGACCAGCCTGACTTAATGCAGGTAGCTACGCTGGCTTTTGGTGAAAAGCCACAGTCTGCGAGGCTTTGGGCTTTCTCGCCGAGTACGTTCAGGCACCGTTTTTCGAAGCTGTTGTCCGCTCTTCGTCTTGACCGCCTGGACGGAAGTAAAATCAAAAAGCTTGATTTGGGCTCTCTCAGGGCAGGGGGAGCTACTTGGCTCCTGCAGCAGACAGAAGATGGCGAGTTAGTCCGCCGCAGAGGGCGGTGGATTAACGCCAAAGTGATGGAGATCTACATACAGGAAGTGTCTTCGGTGTTGTTTATGTCCAGCCTCAATGACAACACTAAGCACGCCGTGCTCTTGGCAATGAGCACCTTTCCTGATATTCTCCGCCAGGCGGAGCTCCTGACGACATGGGGTATTTCACCCCGACTGTGGTTCTCGATGATCACTGCTGGACGGCTTTGAGCCTGCAATGCGCGGGTTTGATGGGAGTGATGACTTGTGCGTGTGCACTTTGACATTGTTCGGAGGAGCAAAAGGTCCGACTCACGCCAGAAGTAGCAGCGAAGCCTTGACACATAAGGCTGAGTGGCGAATGTATGGCTGCGGCTCAAAGTATGCCCGCCCTCACCGCCCGCCGTCCACCAGTGATGACTTGTGCGTGTGCACTTTGACATTGTTCGGAGGAGCAAAAGGTCCGACTCACGCCAGAAGTAGCAGCGAAGCCTTAAAAGGAGTGGGTGGGTGGGAAACCCTCAAACCCTAAAAGGAGTGGTTGGATGGCAAACCCTCAAACCCTAAAAGGAGTGGGCGGGTCGCAAGCCCTGAAACCCTAAAAGGAGAGGAGTGGGTGTGTGGGAAACCCTCAAACCCTAAAAGGAGTGGGTGGGTGGGAAACCCTCAAACCCTAAAAGGAGTGGTTGGATGGCAAACCCTCAAACCCTAAAAGGAGTGGGCGGGTCGCAAGCCCTGAAACCCTAAAAGGAGAGGAGTGGGTGTGTGGGAAACCCTCAAACCCTAAAACGAGTGGGTGGGTGGGAAACCCTCAAACCCTAAAAGGAGTGGTTGGATGGCAAACCCTCAAACCCTAAAAGGAGTGGGCGGGTCGCAAGCCCTGAAACCTTAAAAGGAGAGGAGTGGGTGTGTGGGAAAGCCTCAAACCCTAAAAGGAGTGGGTGGGTGGGAAACCCTCAAACCCTAAAAGGAGTGGTTGGATGGCAAACCCTCAAACCCGAAAAGGAGTGGGCGGGTCGCAAGCCCTGAAACCTTAAAAGGAGAGGAGTGGGTGTGTGGGAAACCCTCAAACCCTAAAAGGAGTGGGTGGGTGGGAAACCCTCAAACCCTAAAAGGAGAGGAGTGGTTGGATGGGAAACCCTGCAGAGCCCTTGTTGCTGCGACGTCTCTGTGATGTTGCAGATGAGTGCGACAGGAGAGTGACAGGAGTTCTGGGCGCACCGACCATTTTGGGCGTAAAATTAGTAATGACACAAATCTAATACTAATGCTAACGCTAGCAAAAATATTAAGGTTACTACTCACAATAATGACAGCAATACTAAGGTTAAAACTTAGAACAAAATTAAGTCAATACCGTTGTTAACAATATTTTTAAGACTGAAACTAAGAATAAGACTTTGACAAGATGACGATAGTTAATAAAGGATGGGGCACACAAACGGGACTCTGTCTTTTACCACTCCGACAAGACGCGCCGAGAGTGTAAATGGTGTCCATAAAACTGAACCCTGTTTTTTACCAGTCTGTCAAGAGGCGTCGAGAGTGCAAACTTTGTACGTGAACACAAACACCATCGGTATTTACAGTGGTTTCGGCTCTTATCCATGACGCTGTGAAGACAGTAATGAGCAGGACAACGGTCGAGGTTGGTCCTGGGGGGGGGGGGGGGTTACCATGTATATATATATATATATAAATATAAATATATTTGTAGGTAGATACCGTAGGCATACTAAATGCCACCAGGTTTACACAGACACTCATAGACCAAAGTATCCCTGCCGTCCGAGTCCGTGGCCGCCTGGCTTCTGCGCTGGGCCGGGGGCCCAGATAATGCCACCGGCAGAGGTCGTAAAGTTTCCAGCTTTCCATACACAGGATCTTGTCGGCTTTCGTGAAGAGTCTCTGTGCCATACTCACTGAATGGCTTCGGACATATCATCGAAAGCTTCTTCATGCAGTCCATACATATATACACATGTGTTAAATTAATATGTATATACATATGTATATACATACCTTAATTTTTTATGTATATGTAAGTAGTTTTGCACACTGGTCACCGATGTGCAGAAGAGCTGTACAGACAAGCATACAGCACACTCAGTGTTTCGCCATGCTATTCGGTGTTGCGGGGTGTTGTTTCACACACACTCGCTCGCTCTCGCTCTCGCTCTCGCTCTCGCTCTCGCTCTCGCTCTTGCTCTCTCGCTCGCTCTCTCTCTCTCTCTCGCTCTCTCTCTCTCTCTCTCTCTCTCTCTCTCCCTCTCCCTCTCTCCCTCGCATTGTCTTTCTCCCTCCCTCATCGTTCGCTTCGCGCACAGACTCTGCATGCAGTCACGTGTGATTCGTTGTCGTCAGCTTCCGCGGTTCATGCTGAACTGAACATCCGAGCTTCAATTTTGAGCAGTATACTATACATCCTGCTCTAAGGCCGCCTGGCTTGTGCGCTGGGCCGGAGGCAGGACCATATCTGTTACCCTGGCTACATCACCACTCTTTGTAGATGTTTGGTACATTGCTACATTTTGTAGATTTGGGGTACATTGAAATTGCTTGTCCATGAAGGTGGTCGGCCGAATGTCTTGTCTTGAAGCTCAGAATGCGGCAGGCTCTTCTGCAGCGCTCCGAACTTCTTGAAGCATTTTGCGGAGATGCCCGAGCCTTCGTGAAAGGTTTGCATGGGTTGAGCATGGAAGGATAAAAACCTCGTTCGTACGGTTAGTCTTGTTCTTTCGCGGAAAGCAGTGTCAAGATTTATCCTTATTCAGTTGGGTCGACTGGCAACAGCAACCCGTGCTTACATCTGGGGGCTCCCTCCGTCGATCGCCTCAGGCTGGAGCGGATCTGAGCTCATCAGGCCCAGAATCGGATTAGACTGTGATTTGCAGTTGTAATCGCTGCAATACGCAGCGTGTCAGCATGTGTCAATGTGAGTGTCGGGGCGGGGCGTAATGCCGCGTTGCCTTTGAGCACTTCTGCAATTTCCTCCAGGATC